GTGCAAAATTTCAAACATTTTGAAAAAACTAAATTTGAAAATGCCCATCTAAAACTTTGAAATAGTCTGTAGGGGGCGCTAATGTGTCAATTTGAATTAATTCACTTTCAAACGACCTAGACCCTAGAGTTGAACAATGTATTAAAGTTTTGTGCAAATCAGACTTTGTTTGTGCAAACGGGAGCAAATTTAATGTTGTCAAAAACGGCCAAAAAAAAGGTCACATTTTGCCGCTCCGCTGCTCAAACAATGTTTCACTGATCAAAAATCCCTGAGGTCATTTTGAAGGTACATGTGTTGAGATGATGTGGAGCGATTTTGAGGCGAATCGGTGAAACGGCCGAGGAGGAGTCGCTTTCCAACCGACATGTATGAATACTTTTGCTGTTCATTTTTCCATTTTGCAGTGTAATTTATGGGCTTCCTGTTTGTCAGAGGGCGGAGCCATAATAATATTTTTTTCTTGTCTTGACTTGAGGAACATGTGTACCAAATCTCATGTTTCTACGACAAACTTGACCTCCGAAAAGTCCCATAGGGGTATTATTTTGGCTGTTGTAGGTGGCGCTGTTCTGTCATTTTTTGAGTCCCATAAAAATAAACACCAAAATATCAAATTTTTCGCCAGGTCTGATTTTTGGGCCAAAATTAACAACTTTTCATGCATGTTCAGGGGGTCAAATTAAGGCTCAAAGTGCAGAAGAAAAAAGAAAGAAAGAAAGAAATAAATAAATTAAAGCCGCAAGCGGCGTCGAACGGCCCTCGCCGCACCGCGCGACTCCCTGCACCGCACGCACTCCCCGCACCACGCCGCCCCGCACCAAGCCGCCCCGCACCAAGCCGCCCTGCACCAAGCCGCCCTGCACCATGCCGTCCCGCACCACGCCGCCCCGCACCAAGCCGCAATGCGCCGCTCCACACCGTACCACGCAGCACCGCTAAAAGGAGGTGGCACCGCCGTGTGATGATTTGTTTCCGTAGCCAAAGAAGAACTTAGTCAAATTGTAATGAATATGATAAGTAGAGCTGGTTTGGCTCCCCATGTAAACTTTGACACAGTCTGTAGGGGGCGCTAATGGGCCAATTTCCAATATTTCACTTTAACCTGACCTAAACCCTGGAATTGAACAATGGATTAAAGTTTTGTGCAAATCAGACTTTGTTTGTGCAAACAGGAGCAAAATTAATGTTGTCAAAAAGAGCAAAAAAAAACCTCACATTTTGCCGCTCCGCTGCTCAAACAACGTTTAACGGATCAAAATTCCCTGAAGTCAGTTTGAAGGTACATGTGTTGAGATGATGTGGAGCGATTTTGAGGCGAATCAGTGAAACGGCCGAGGCTGGTTTGATGTTTGTGTGAGGTGTACATTTGCAATGAATGGGGAGCGTTTCTCGTCGCCACGGCAACAGGGTAAAAAATAAGCCTTGGACCCTATTGACTTTTTGAATCAAGAGGGAAAAACGGATTCATGTGCAAAATTTCAAACGTTTTGAAAAAACTAAATTTGAAAATGCCCATCTAAAACTTTGAAATAGTCTGTAGGGGGCGCTAATGTGTCAATTTGAATTAATTCACCTTCAAACGACTTAGACCGTAGAGTTGAACAATGTATTAAAGTTTTGTGCAAATCAGACTTTGTTTGTGCAAACGGGAGCAAATTTAATGTTGTCAAAAACGGCCAAAATAAGGTCACATTTTTCCGCTCCACTGCTCGAACAATGTTTCACTGATCAAAAATCCCTGAGGTCATTTTGAAGGTACATGTGTTGAGATGATGTGGAGCGATTTTGAGGCGAATCGGTGAAACGGCCGAGGAGGAGTCGCTTTCCAAGCGACATGTATGAAAATGATTGGTTTTCATGTTTCCATTTTGCAATGAAATTTATGAGCTTCCTGTTTGTCAGAGGGCTTAGCCATAATAACATTTTTTCCATGTCTTGACTTGAGGAACATGTGTACCAAATTACATGGTTCTACGGCAATTTTGACCTTGAACCCCTCCCATAGGCATTTTTAAATTGGCTGTTGTAGGTGGCGCTATAGAGCCAATTTCAAAATTTGAACTTTCAATTGACCTAGACTAAAGAGTTGAACCATGGATTCAAGTTTTGTGCCAATCACACTTTGTTTGTGCAAACGGAAAAAAATATTCTATTGTCAAAATCTGAAAAAAAATACGCCACTTTTTGGCGCTCTGCTGCTCAAACAACGTTTCACTGATCAAAATTCCCTGAAGTCATTTTGATGGAACATATGTTGAGATGATGTGGAGCGATTTTGAGGCGAATCGGTGAAACGGCCGAGGCTGGTTTGATGTTTGTGTGAGGTGTACATTTGCAATGAAAGGGGAGCGTTTGTCGTCGCCACGGCAACAGGGTAAAAAATAAGCCTTGGACCCTATTGACTTTTTGAATCAAGAGGGCAAAACAGATTTATGTGCAAAATTTCAAACATTTTGAAAAAACTAAATTTGAAAATGCCCATCTAAAACTTTGAAATAGTCTGTAGGGGGCGCTAATGTGTCAATTTGAATACATTCACTTTCAAATGACCTAGACCCTAGAGTTGAACAATGTATTAAAGTTTTGTGCAAATCAGACTTTGTATGTGCAAACGGGAGCAAATTTAATGTTGTCAAAAACGGCCAAAAAAAGGTCACATTTTGCCGCTCCGCTGCTCGAACAATGTTTCACTGATCAAAAATCCCTGAGGTCATTTTGAAGGTACATGTGTTGAGATGATGTGGAGCGATTTTGAGGCAAATCGGTGAAACGGCCGAGGAGGAGTCGCTTTCCAACCGACATGTATGAAAACTTTTGCTGTTCATTTTTCCATTTTGCAGTGAAATTTATGGGCTTCCTGTTTGTCAGAGGGCGGGGCCATAATAATATTTTTTTCTTGTCTTGACTTGAAAAACATGTGTACCAAATCTCATGTTTCTACGACAATTTTGACCTCCGAAAAGTCCCATAGGGGTATTATTTTGGCTGTTGTAGGTGGCGCTGTTCTGTCATTTTTTGAGTCCCATAAAAATAAACACCAAAATATCAAATTTTTTGCCAGGTCTGATTTTTGGGCCAAAATTAACAACTTTTCATGCATGTTCAGGGGGTCAAATTAAGGCTCAAAGTGCAGAAGAAAAAAGAAAGAAATAAATAAATAAATAAAAAAGGAATTTTTTTGTTAACGTCTCGAGCAAAAACAATATAGGTTTCAATGGCATGTGATACATCATTTTAAAGCTTTTGAGTTTACGCACGCAACTGTCACATTTTGGTGAGTGACGGGCGCTGACGCGTCCGTCACGCACCGCCACCATTTGTTTTCACCATTGTGAAAGCAATAGGCCCTTACCCCGTTCGGGGCTCGGGCCTAAATAAATAAAAAAGGAATTTTTTGTGACTTGTCTCGAGCAAAAACAATATAGGTTTCAATGGCATGTGATTCATCATTTTAAAGCTTTTGAGTTTACGCACGCAACTGTCACGTTTTGGTGAGTGACGGGCGCTGGCGCGTCCGTCACGCACCGCCACCATTTGTTTTCACCATTGTGAAAGCAATAGGCCCTTACCCCGTTCGGGGCTCGGGCCTAATAAAAAAGGAATTTTTTTGTTAACGTCTCGAGCAAAAACAATATAGGTTTCAATGGCACGTGATCCATCATTTTAAAGCTTTTGAGTTTACGCACGCAACCGTCACATTTTGGTGAGTGACGGGCGCTGACGCGTCCGTCACGCACCGCCACCATTTGTTTTCACCATTGTGAAAGCAATAGGCCCTTACCCCGTTCGGGGCTCGGGCCTAAATAGTTCCCAAAGGCTTTCCCGTGGCTATGCTAGCAACACTTAGGCTATCAACTTCCAAACTAGAACTCCCTGGAACTGCATGAAAACTGAACAAGGAATTCTGAACATCAGCGGTGAGTGACCCAAACATAAACCTAACCTAAATCCATAATTTGATCCTCTGCAAATGTGTCCTAAAATGTGCCGGTATCTAGTTCCGGGTTTTTCGGGATCGCCTTTTCTCGCATTACATCAGTGTTTTTGTCATGAAAACGTAAACGGAAAATTCTGAAAACTTCCGTGCACTTGTATTAATAATGTATTTGTATAATGTACTCTCCGATTAACATTTAATTGCGTTGATTGATTGGCATTTGTGTTTATTGAGCGGCCGGAACTACTTCCGGGTTTTTCACGATCGCTTTTTGACGCAGAGAAATTGTATTTTTGTCAGGAAGACAAGACCAGAAAATTCTGAAAATTTCCGTGCACGTGTGTGAAGAATGTATATCTATAAGTATTCTCCTATTAACATTTAAGTGTGTTGATTGAGCGTGGCAAGCTCCGGAGTGGCCGGAACTACTTGCGGAATTATCCACGCATTTGAAAGACAAGCAGAGAGTGCGTTGCCATGGGCAGCGGCCATTATTGTTTTGAGAGGTCCGTTATAAAAAATAATGACCGGTAGAACGTTTTGAAATTACATTCAAATCAATGGAGCATTCTACTGCTGCTGTGAGGAGCCGTATAATAAAACGGACATAATGAAAATTTTGCTTTGTGTTGACTAGATAAACACCAAACAATCACAGAAATGAACAAATAACAACACACTTGTAAAACTTAGTCATTGCTTTCGTACATTTTGAAAAGTTGAGACACAAGTTGAGACAGTAGTAACGTAAACAAACTGTACCTGTTTCTAACTGTTAACAAGCATGTTTACATTTGAGAGCCTTCTGTTGTCTAGCAAACATGCATAGCAACCAAATGAACCAAAACTGCATAGCAACCAAACCAATAAGAAAAGTGATTAAAGTTAATTATTAGAAACTCATTGAATAGTATTAGCCTGTACAGCAAATAAATCAAAATGTACAAATCACAATGAAACGGGTTTTCATCTAGCCACTAAAAAACTGAGGCAGAACAAATGGTATTGAATTAAACTGTACCATAAACATGTCTTGTTCTGACGCTGTGTTTTGTCTCAGGTGGAGATCCGTCCCATGATGTACGTTGCCCTGACGTACGACCACCGCCTCGTGGACGGGCGAGAGGCAGTCACCTTCCTGCGCAAGATCAAGGCAGTGGTGGAGGACCCCAGGGTGCTGCTTATCGATATGTAACATTGAAACCACAACCAAACACCAACAACAACAGACAATGGCCAGCTCACCCAGTGAACTTTACTATGAATGCAGTTGTTTTAAAGGCACTAGAACGAGGTTTCACGGGAAAGTCGGGAAGTGCAATGGATGTTGAGACAGCTAGCAAGTTTAGCAGAGCTCTCCGTGGGGTTGGTGATTGAATGGTGCTGGTCTTAAGATCAAAAAGCTTGCTTATACTTCACCTATGTTTTCTATATTCAATTCATTATGTCATTTATATTTCCAAGTTCATGGCTTTGGCAAAGTTAGATGAAATGTGTTGGTGATTATCTTGAATACGGATTAGCACTGGGTAAAAGATGCACAATGTTTTCAAAGTGTCCAAAGCGATGCAGATATGTTTATGCCATGTGTTTCATTTCGGTGAAACGCCTGTAAATCTTTTATTTAAAGCTTTTAAGAAATAAAATACAATTTGGATTAAGGAAATGATTATGTGTCATTTCTAATGAGTCATGTGTTCAGGTTTTCCCTTTTGGCAAATTAAACTGTGTGAGAGGGTAACTAGGATGAAAGAAAGGCATGCACTTGGTTAAGCAACATTTTGAAAATACTTAGATCACAAATACTGAAAGTATTTTCCCAATGTTGCTTAACCAAGTGACTCGAACCAAATGCAGTAGACGGGCTTTTTATTCAAAATAAACAAGGAAGTCAAGGATGCTTTTATGTCCATCTTTATTCTGATTTCTATGTTGGCACCACACCACATACAGTTTCAGTTGTTTATGGATCTTCCTCAGCAGCTTAAAGCCTTCCAGGAGATGGCGCTAAAGAATGGGTGGCATTTGATGTCACTCACTCCTCCACCTCCTGAGCCCAGACGATAACCTGCATCATATTGAAGTAACTGCAACACAAGTTTAACACATGATTTAACAGCTTTAACGTAACAAAGTCCCGAAACGTTTTAGTTATTTAACCGGTAAAATCCCCGTGAGACTTAGAACCTCTTTTTCAAGAGAGTCCTGGACAAAAGTTACACACAACGTGAAGTGCACACTGACCTCTGTGAGCAGAGAGGCGGCCGCAGCACTCAGGTGCTCTGGGATCAGCAGTTGTGTGTGTGAGTGGATTCCCGCAGGATGAAGCTGCCACAGAGGCTGCAGCACAGAGTCACAATGTGAGATGTGCAAAAGGGAAATAAAGCATTATACTACAGCTATAGCACATTAAGGCTGAGAATCTCTTACCATTCCAGTTAGAAGCTCAAACAACAGAGCCCCCAGACTCCACCAATCACACGCCTCTGTGACTCTTGCCACGCCACCGATCTCTGTACAGATGCTTTGTTTTATATATTCTCATAAATGACATTTTTCATAATGAATGATTAACAGTAGTTAGCCTCTAGAGGGCGCTAAAAACAAAGACCGGAGCTTACCTGGTGCACAGTACATCCGCTCTATGGCTTTTGAGCACAGTTCTGTCTGGACCTCGCTCCACTGCCCAAAAAAAGTCAAACACACTTTCCCTGAGGGTAAATAGAGCACAGAACATGTGTGAACTCATTGGGAACGACCACAAGTCCAATATCTGTGTTCCTGCCACTGTGACAACATGGTATAAGTTCTCTTGAATTTAATGTTTGATACTTTGTTGTTTGTCTATATTTATTTAAGTTTGTTCTAAAACCGATTGTGATAGATTGTAATAAATAAGTAATTACTAGACTAAGATTAAGAGATCTTTTATTCGTCCCACAGATCTGGATTTGGTAGAAGTAAGGAATCACATAGTTAATACAACACTCTTCAGAGTCTACAGCAACACGTGTGAAACTCATTTCCTCAAGTGAGTTCAGTCTTAACCTGAAGATTTGAGAAAATGGGTGGAGTCTGCTCTGCTCCTCCTGGGTTTGAGAGAAAACCTGTAGCCACTGCAGTACTTTCTGGACCAGTTTGGACACGGACTCTGAAGGGCTACCATCTCCCATGGTGTAATACTATAGAAGGCAGAGTGGGTCAACGGGACAGCCATCCACCCGCCGTCTGTCATGGCATAATGACCCCCTCTTCTACCTGCACCTGTGAGCTGTTCTCCCAGCCTGGACTCACGGGCTGCACCCCCCTGTTTGTTTTGAGGCGTTTCTTCCCAATGCCATTCTTTGCCTTTTATACGTCTCCTTTACATCAGCAGCAAAAGTGCACTCACCGTTGGTTGTGAGCAGGACATTCCGAGGGTTCAGGTCTTTACAGATGATGCCTTGCTCGTGCAGACTCTCCAGACCAAGCAGGATCTGAGCCCCCCACACTCGCGCCTCAGCCTCCGGAAGCCCCCAACACTCCTCCGCTCTCTGCTCTGAGGTCGTCTTCACCGCCATGCGAGGCAAGTGACACCACCCATCCACCTCAATGACCTGGTCCTCTCCCCGTCCGTCTGAGCTGTCCGACTCCAGCCTCTCCTCCTTCTTCTGCTTCTGCTGCTGCTGCGTACTCCCAAACCACGACCACCCTGAACCCGGAGCTCCCTTGGCTTCCTCCGCACCTGATTTCTTGCCCTTTTCTGTGTTAGACAACTTTAAACCCTGCTTCCCGTCTACAGTATTACAGAACGCAGCTGAAGTCCAGGAGGAGTCCAGGGATGTTTTGTTGTCTGTGTATTCTGAAAACACAGCCCGGTCTGTACTTTGGATCACTACCATACCGTTCTTCTCGTCTGAGGTTGGACTGTTTGTGCCATTGCTGTGTATTTCAGTATTGCTTTCACCTAAAAAAGTTCCCTGTTCGCAACTACTACTATCCCACGCTGCTCTGCCATGCATCTGCATTTGGCAATGTAGTGGAAGATACAAAATGGCAGGGGTATTCTCACTGCTACCTGATTTGGGAGGTGAATTCAGCGCACCGTCAGCCACTGAGTACAGATGCGTCTTTTCGTTGCTTTTTTCCGTGGCTTTCCAGGCTGTTTCGAAATCCGTGCTGCACTCCACTAGCCCGGTCCCAGCCCTTTTCTTGTCCAGTCCCGACATGGCATCAAGAGCCTGGCTTATCCGTGTACAGGACAGAGGAAGAGCGAGCTTTTCCTGAGTTTCGCTGGACTGCAAGCACAAACTGGGAGCTGGTGGGTGGATGTGAGGGTTAAGTGTAGTCTTGGAAGGTCCCGACTGTAAAGATAGTTTGTCGGGTATTGTGAAAAAGGAGGTGCGGGTGCTCTGTAGACAGCCGGTCTCCTCTATGTAAGAGTGAGTCCGGCAGTTGTCCAGTCTCTGCATGAAGTCTGCGTCGGGCCTGTGGCTGTTGGGACCGCCTGAGGACCTCCCCTCCGGCCCCTCGCTGAGGAGATCTGTGCTGGTCGCAGGTGATGTGTGGCAGGTTGTCGTCCAGTTGTTGTGTTGGCCTGAAGGTGTGCGATCGGGGGCCGCCCTGGTCTTCTCGTTACGGAGCTTGTGAAGTTTGGAGAAAAGCCTTCCGCCTGAAATGACATTTTAAGGATGTAATAAGGCAGTAGTGTCAAATTCAAAATTAAGTAAAAAATGCCATAGTGTCCCATTGATTCTGGACTGGTTCTGGTTCAGTTTGGTTTTTGCTACTTACCGTAGCAACACACTGTTTACTGTTAGCAGTTAGCATTTGGTCTTTGGCAACAGCCTTTCAACAAACTGCTATATTTCAGTAATATTCACCAGTTCGAGCTTTTTTAAAAAGTATCATATTTGTGGTTTTTCTAGTATTAAATCTTAAAATAGTCTTGATTTGATTAATCCTTGAATAAGTTTAATTGAAACTTGTTGAATAATAGTTGGACTCTGAGCAGGACAGAACATCCTGAGACTGTGTTGCAGATTCTGTCTCGTTCTCATTATTGTTTGTTTGAAGAAAGTTATGTATTGTTCACGTGTGCACATGTTGTGTACAAACTACACACTGTGCCTCCTGTTGTTTTAACTCTGCCTTTTGGTGCGTGTGGTTTGCGATGTTGACACCTTTCACATAGACTTTTACATAATACTATTTTCTAAAAGATTCTTTTTGGGGTAGTTTTTTTTACATAACTGTGGTCCTCCTTGATCCCTACTTCAAACTTGTGAGGGCACAGTGGAAGCAACAATATCAGTAGCACCTGTGAAACAAAACGCTATCCTTTTTGTTTATCTTCAGGATGGCGCATTGACACGGATAGTACTCTGCTCTCATAGACATGTAAAGGTCAAATTAATCATAGATACAATAAAATTGTCGTTAAAGTTTTGTTTCACCTTTCTCCCACCTTTATTTTTTTTTATTTTTTCCTTGCCGTTGCAGGAGGGTCAACATCATAAATGGCTTCATGTGCTTTTTATCATTGCATTTCTTGTGTTTGAACAGTTGGATTTTCTGATCTGTGTTGGCGAATTCAACGGTTTTGTTAAGTCCTCCAAAATAACTACTGCTGTGATTTAGGGCTATGCAAAAATAAATGGAATAGAATTGAATGGTTCACCTTTGACGTGCTCCAGGTGCAGGTACACGGTGTCCTCGCTCACATAGTACCTCAGCAGCTTCACCATGTAGGGGACGCCCTGGGGGATGATGGTTGGCTGGTCTCTGCTCTCCCAACTCGACTTCATCAAACTCTGAAACACAAACAGAACAACATTCACTACCACATAAAAGAAAAAACGTATCGGGATGATAATATTAGATCCAGAAATACTAGTCACCTTAACAACAAATGTCTCCTTGTTCACCATACTCTGCACCACCAGGACCTTTTGGAACATAAGAATGACATCATGTATATTACATATATTGCACACGATAATAATGTTTATCAAAACACCAGGAAGAACTAAACTAGTAATGTACTCAGCTTGACAAGAGAAAGTTTACTTCTGTCAATAGTATGTGCTTGTGTGTTGATTTTTTTTTGTATTTTGTGCAAAAGATTGAAATAAACTACGAGTAAGTAACTCCACACAGAGATGGGACCAGGTCGCCATACAGGAGGCCAGATCTATTGCACATGTTTTTAGTGGTAGGGGAAACCGGAGCACCAGGAGCAAACCTGTGTAGACACGGGGAAAACATCCAAACTCTGCACAGAAAGGCCTGGAAGTGGAATCGATACCGGAACTTCTAACTGTGCTTACTACTACTACTTCTACAACTCCTGCTACAACTACTACAGAACCTTAGATTATTGTCAGAGAAGCCTGTCTCACATCTTCAGGTAATTTTAGCTGCATGAATCTGAAATGCCGCTGTTTAGTTCAGACTCTGGGCATCATTAAGTAAGTAATCTTTATTTATATACCGCCTTTCACAGACCAGAGTCACAAAGCGGTTTACAATTGTCATTTTTTGAGCATTTGTTTCTCACTCCACACGGAGATGGGAGTGGGGTCGCCAGTACAGGAGGCGCATGCCAAGACAACCAGAGTACCCGGAGGAAACCTACGCAGACACGGGGAGAACATGCTAACTGGTCGGCCCTGGTCCGACCAGTTTTGGTCCAACCCTTCTTGCTGAGAGGCAAGAGCGCTATCCACTCAGCCACCGACACCGTGCCGAGTCTAGACCATGTGCTCCTTAGAGTCCCTACTACTACTACTAGAACTACCACTACTATTACTACTGATACTTTTTGTTATCTGTTTTTTGTTTTGTTTTACATGGACCTTTTTGGCTGATTTAAAGATTTAAGAATGATGATCATAATGTAATAATCACAGAAAGTGCCTCTTATTACCACACATCAGACGGAAGCGTGTAAAAGCTGACCTTATCGGACACTCCCACCACCTTGCACATCTCCAGATCTTCCACAGGCGAGCTCAAGTGCCTGATGGGTCGGAATCGGAGACTGCTGTATCCCTGCGTGAGTAATAACAATAAATAATAGAAGAAGAAGAAGAAGGGGAGAAAAAAACCCCTCCTTTATTAAAACTTTCATTCACCGTTTTATTCATAGGCGTCTCTTACCCCCAGATGCGCGCTTCCCTTTCCGAGGTTGTCTTGCAGATGTGTGATGAAGATTTCCTCAGCTCTTTTCAAGTATTGCGTTGTCTTTCGCTTCACGGCCTCCCGGCGTTCTTTGTTTGGATCCACTGTGAAACGCAGAGTCCAAAGATCACAAAGGTATACCACACCCCCCTCTCTTTCTCTCTCTTCTTTGTACTTTTGTGTCTTGTTCAAACACTTAACTTTAGCCAAACCTTTTTTTTTTTTTATCTGACTGGACAGGAGGCAACAATGAGTCAAAGATGTGGAGTCAGCAGGAAAATACAACCAAACTACGACCTTTGCTTCCGGGACTTCCTCATTTTAGTTTATTTTGGTTTGTTAGTCACGTGTGTTGGGTGGATTAGTGGGTCGGAATCAGATGCTGGATTTCTTTGCGTCTGCTGCATATAGTGGAGAATTTGACCTCGTCTCCTACACCGTTGTTTTCTGTTTAACTCAGCAATATTAAGCATTATTTTTGGACATAGAAAGTGACAATGTTTAAAATAAAAAGGAGGAAATGAAACAGATCCAGTCGAAAGAATGTGAACTCAACATATCATATTCACCATTTTATTATCTTTATTTTTTTATTGAATATTTTTAATGTCACATTGATGACATAAATAAGTCATCTCATGTTTTATTTAATTTGTTTTGTTTGTGTCTTTTTTAAGTTTAGCTTTTTTTCCATTTTTATTTAAATGGTACAAGGGGAGGATATTGGCAAAAGGATAAAACAAAATAAATGTTGTCTTGTAATGCTGTATGTAACATGGGGAAAATGACACTTTAAAGAAACACTTTTTTTTTAAATAAAGTTTTGAAATGTGAAGTAATTTCTTCAATAGAAAATATATGATAAAAAAAGCAGAATAAACAATACGATTGTTTATAGCCTATAATGTTTTTTTATATCTTGGCTAATATTTAAATATCCAAAGTTGTATTATTTGTCTGTTAGTCTAATAAATTATTATTTTATGTTTCCTCTTTTTAGCTGAATCTGTTTTGTGTTCCTTATTTTCATGTTTGAATACCACAAAAACTGGAACTCCGTAATCAATCCATTTCACTAGTTCCTGACTTTAAAACAGTTTAGTTCCATCACTAGTTTTCTTATGCCTGTATCTTTGGCCTCTATAACATCTTTAGATAAGTTTTTTCAGTCAGAAAAATTAAAAATTCCTCATCGGGTCGGTATCAGATGCTGGATTTTTGTTGTGCCTGCTGCATTTAATTAGAAGTCTTGCCTTGCTATTGTCTTTCCTTTTAATGCAGAAAGATTATGCATTATATTTGGTCAATAAACAATTTAACTAATCCTTTTATGTTTTACAATATAACATAATATTTGTTTTTGTTTTTTTCCCAAACTTGAAAATTACCTTTTACAAACAAAGCCATGCGATTTTAGAGAATGTCATTTCACCTGAGAAATGAGCAAAACTAATTCAGGGCAATGCTTCTATTAGCAAAGTCATCCTGCTCCCTATGGACAAACGGCTCCCATGTGTTTTTTATTTCATTTCCTGTGTTCAAACTGCTTGATTCTCTAATCTGTTAATATATATACACAATCAACAGGTCCTTTGAGACAAATGCTGTTGAGATTGGTTCTATGAAGAAAAAATGTTTTAATTAAATTGTATCTTGTGAATTGAAAAGTGCATTTTAAATTCATTTTTGTTATCATCACAAGATGTTCTGATGTTCTTACACTGGACCCCGTTGAGCAGCAGATCCACTCCGTTCTTGTAGTAGCTGAACGCCGCCTCGTAGTCCTCGTTCACCTCACTGTCCAGGGCCATGCGGATCTGCTTGGCCGCCTCCACCAGGTAGTCCCTCTTCGCCATAGCAGCCTCTGTGTGGACCAGACCAGGTCCCGTGAGGCCTGGACACAGCACAACAACAGTCAGATTCAGATTCACTTTATTTGCCATTTACAATAAAACCACATTGGAATGCACGTGCAAATGTCCCAAGTGTAAATCGGGCATGTACATAAATAAAACATGCTAAAACAAGTATACAGGAGACAATTGTCACTGTGAAACCAATCAACAAAAGTTAGAGATTTTGTTTTATTTTATTTAGTGTAATTAATCACTTATCTTGTGCTGTGTGCTCCTCATTCCTAATGTTCTTTAACTTGTGATTTTTTAAAAGACATAAAACTGTGAGTTAGCGACATTGGTCATCCTGCGCCCTATGAACCAAGAGCTCCTATGTTTGATTCTCAGATCTGTTGTCGGTGAATCGACACTGCTATTGTGATTTGATACAAACAGAAATAATTTGCATTGTACTGAATCTTGTTTATTGTCAAATCTTCTGCCAGAGGGAAGAAGCTGGAACATGGCTTTTTCAGGGGCCAGAAGAGTCATTGATCATTTTAAGTCACTAATATCACATCATTCCTCACAAAACCATCTCTTTACCTTTGAGCGCTGAGTGTATCAACAACACGGTTCATGTCTTATGGATGATTCCAGGCTGAGTGGACGTTTGGGTCTGTCCAAAACGGGCCCCTGAGAGCGGGCAACCATCTTCACCTAATAATAATCACAAAATTAATACATTTCATTTATATTGCAACTTCCATTTCCACAATAAAACCAACAAAAATAACAGAAACAACATAAAAACCTGAGGAGAGGAAATAAACAGCTGATGTGGTTCTGTATTTATACGCTTGTAGTGCATACACATTCAGACATAATAACTAACAGGTACCTATAACCTATATCTAAACTTTTTATTTTCAAGTATTATAAAAGGAACCTTCCCTGAAACAATATTCATACCATTTCACAGATAAACTGCACACAAGCAATATATATATTGTTATTGCAGTTAAACAATCCTATTTATATCACTCCAATCTCAAAGTCAAAGAAGAAATTGAAATAGAATAAATGACATATATAGTGAAACAATTTTTTACAACAGAAATATAGTCAATAGTTTCCATACATTAGTTTTGCTCAGGTGTAACCATGGAAAAAACATAAAATAAGATGTTTGGGGAGGGGGCGACCCGAAGGAAGAAAGATATTCAACTCTGCCCTCTAGTGGAAGAAGTGGGTAATTACAAGAATAGATGTCTCTTCATATATTTGTTTCCAGCATAGTTTCTATAATTATTTGTGTCAACGTAAGCAGTCACATGATCATCTTTAAGGGTTGAAATACGGCATAGTAATTCATAATTAAGTGTAACAATCACAATACTTAAATGCATGCAGTACTGTACATCAGTAGCACACCAGCCTCTGCTAACATTGCATGCTAATTTCATACATTGTCTATACTTGCATAAATGTAATCTAAATCAAAACCATGCATTAGAGTTGCTGTGTCTCAGTCCCGTCTGCCTTTGCCTGTTTGTCTCAGTGCTCCCATCCCTCTATAATAAGACCCACACAGCTCACAGTGTAAGGACCAGCCATGGGGGCCACATCCTGCAGCATAATACAGCACAGTCCCACCACACACTTCCTCTTTCACACCCTCTCCCTGTTCACACTATAGCCCCAACCCACCGCGCAGATACGTGTTTAGCTGTTTTATATGCAGAGTTAGAGATGGAGCGATAGATACCTGATGTGAGGCAGCAGCATCAGCAACAACCGCCGCATCCCAGCCCCAGGAAGAGGCGGAGTCAGCGCGGCGCACGGTTCCTATTGGTTGAGCGGCCTGTCACTCAAGGATAGCATTTCTCTCAACAGCCGCTCCCCCGATCTCAAAGCAGATGCGGCCTCACTTAAAGAGACAGTGGTGTTTTTGTGTCCCGTGTGGCCTTACCAACAGTCCACAATACCGATCACGTTACAACATTGATATTTTTTACTGTTTGCTCTGAATATACCATCATAATGTGTGTAAATGTAGACTACTGCAGTTGTTACAGCTCAGTACTAGACGGAGCCTGGTGCCATCACCACAAAGAGAGCTGCCAACCCCGAGGGAAGCTGCAGCTGATGGGAGAGAGAGCAGGAAGTGAGGAGGGGAAGGGAGGGCTGTGGGTAAGAGCCACTTTGACTCTATTAAAACGGCACTGTTATTACAATACGTCTATGGCACTGAGGCATGAGTGGCTCTGTGTGGCTGTTCCAAGCATAAGGATAAGAATCTACCACTAGTACTGCGATTACTTCATATTATACTAAAGCAAGGGTACCAAACTTTCAAACCACAAAATAAACTAAAACTCAACATACCCTCGCCTCCAAAAACGACTAATTTAGTTATTACCAAAGAGTCATCTCAATTCAATTCACTTGAAGCATGGGGGTGGAAACATCATGCTTACGGGCTGTTTTTCTGCACTGGGACCAGGAGGAATTATCTGTGTAAAAGAAATAATGAATGGGGTGGATGTATACTGAGATTTTTAGTGAAAACCTGTGGGAAATGGCTTTCACAAAATGGACACACAATGTGATAAGGTCATGGCAACTTTAGTTTCTGTTGTTGTGACTAGCTCTTGCTCTTTTTCATTCTGTCTGAAAGAACTCTACAGAAACTCTATAAGTATTCTGAAACTGAAATAAAGGCCCACAGGCCTGTGTGCTTCGAAACCCGCCTCAAGTCTGTCATTTTTTGACTCCTTCCATTAATAAGAGCAGTGAAGATGTTTGGAACGTGGTTGGGTTTTTCATCACAACAGTGATCCCAAACACATCACCCAGGCAACAAAAGAGTGGTTTTGTAAGGAGAATTTCAAGGTCCAGGAGTGCCCTAGCCCATCGCCAAATCTCAAAACAAACAAATTAGGTTTTCCTGAATTATCTTATCTAAACCCCACAGAAAATCTTTGAAAAGAGTTGAAACATCACTGAGATCTGCATAGAGGAATGGTCCAAAATACCAGCAACAGTGTTGAAAAACCTTGTGAATACTTGTAGAAAACGTTTGACCTCTGTCATTAACAACAAAGATGGAGGGTGTGCCTCTCTTTTTCACTCGTCTCTGAAATAGCTGATCTAAAGAAAAAATAGACGCAGGAAGGAGTGCTAGAAAATGTTTTGAGAGGAGTGGATTTAATTACATTGTTCAGGAGTTTGATACTCCAGCTTTAATATGAATCAATTGTTATAGCAGCACTAGTAGATAAGATAAGTTAAGAGATAAGAGAACCATAAGCATAACAGCTCTCCATATCTGCATGGAGGAATGGGCCAAAATACCAGCAACAGTGTGTGAAAACCTTGTGAAGACTTGAAAACGTTTGACCTCTGTGATGACCAACAAAGAGTATATAACAATGAATTGAGATGGACTTTTGTTATTGACTGAACACTTTCTTCCCTCCATAATTTGCAAATACACGTAAACTTTTAGTGATTTTCTGCTGCGGGAGCTTCAAGGTACAGCTACAAGTCCGCTCCATCTTCTCCGGAGCCGTTGCTGGCAGCTGCCTCTCTCCAGACGACCAAGCGCATAAGAAAGCAGGACATGAAAAGCAGTCGACTACAAAGAAAAGAAAAGATAAATGAAAAGATCCGAGAGATGCCATCGGAGCCCCCCAGGCCAGAGCGGAGCCGAGCAAAGGCCCCAGGAACGTCAGTGTGCCAATCAATCTGCAGCGTGCGTGTGAAGGATGAGTGGAGTGACATGGCATCACTGCAATTTATTTATATATATTAGGAGCTGTAAAATTCTCCTGCACATCTGCTTTTCTTCACAGCACTATTGGATGACGCTCATAAAAGTCCATGTCGAGAAATGTAGACAAGGCAGATCGAAATGAAGAAGACCAAGCTTTTTATATGATGTGTTACTATCATTTGAACACACACAGTACTAGCTTTTTTACCATATTTTTTACTCTCTTTGTCTCAATCAAAAGAACCTTCCAAGTCTCAAACATAAAAAAGACATGAGAATGAATGTTTGTAAATTGATATATTTGATTCACAGGATAAAAACTTGCAGCTTGTATGTGTTTCTCTGCACCGTTCCTATTTATTCAGCGATTGCTTCTTGGGGTCTTTCTCCACACCCTTCTTCTTGACTTTTTTCTTCTTTGCTTTCTTGGTCTTGGGCTTTCCCTGTGGAGGTCTGGGCTCAAGAGCCGGCCTGGACCTGGTGAAGGCCGAGTGTCTGCTCATCTCTGGGTCTGAGCGCGTCCCCTGGGCAGAGATGGACTTCCCCCTGGAGGTGAAGGCCGAGTCCAACAGATTGGGCTGAGAGTAGGCCCTCATACCCGGGGAGCTGCTGGGCCTGGGATGGAGAGGAGGCAAAGAAGGTACTGTCTCAGGTTTATATGATTAAGATTAAGAAATGTCAGTGTTGCAATGCAGTAGGCACAGTAGGAATGAGGAGCAAACAGCACAAGATAAATGATAAATCTCCAACATTAGCATAGTGAAGACGCAAGAATTTGGTACACCATCTCTGACTTTAGCATAATCGGTCTAAGTAAAAAATATAGTGAGATTTAGAAGATTTAAAAGATTAGTATAGAAAGAATAATCTGGGAAAAGTAAAAGTACTGAAGTCATTCCCTTTTCTGAAGTAAAAGTATACAGGCGAACCTCTGAAAATTATTTCATAAAATTGTTCAAAAGTGATTTTATTTCTGTAATGACACATGTCTCTTTGTTTTTATTGAGTCATTGTCATATATTGGGTTCACATTTAGTTTGTTATATGAATATGGATTGCAAAAAAATATTCTAATCAAAAATAAAGTATACAAAAAAAGACGATATTTGGAGTTAAACGTGAGGAGTTGTTAGAAAAAAGTAGTAAATGTCCTGATGGTCCTGATATAGACAATGCTAACCCACGAGCTCAATGACAATAGTACTTGAGTATTAATACTGAGTCACCTCCCACCTGTGATAATGAGAGCTGCTTCCCAACATGGGCAGGTGGACGTGGTCGTTGCTGAGGTAGCGTGAGCTGTGGGACATGGCGATGTGGTGCCAGGAGCTCAGGGGCGTGGCAGAGAAGGGCTGGGGGCCGCCGGAGTCGTCCTTGTGGGGCCCGGGAGACATGACCATGGATTCGTGCGGGGTGTTGGCCTCGACCGCAGTCTGGAAGGTCTTCAGGATGCGGTCGCTCTTCTGCTTCTCCTTCTTCTGCCGGGATTCCACCTTCTTCAAGTGGCGGCGGTGGTCTCTCATCATCTGTTTCCTGGTGTCGGCGAGACCCCTGCAGCAAGGAATAGCAACAGACCAATATCAATAACTGTTAAAGCTAGAAGAGCCAGCTATTTATTTTTCTTTCTCTTTTTTTCTGTTCCATTCTTTCTTTCTTTGATCGGTATTAATTATGCTCAAAAGGCCGAGGCATGGCGGTTATGAGCAACCCAACCAGAGAGAGAGAGAGACCAGAGAGAGAGACCAGAGAGAGGCCAGAGAGAGAGAGACTAGAAAGAGACCAGACAGAGACTAGAGAGAAACCAGAGAGAGACTAGAGAGAGACCAGAGAGAGAGACTAGAGAGACCAAAGAGAGAGATTAGAGAGAGACTAGAGAGAGAGACCAGAGAGAGACCTGAGAGAGGCCAGAGAGAGACTAGAGAAAGAGACCAGAGAGAGACGAGAGAGAGACCAGAGAGAGACTAGAGAAAGAGACCAGAGAGAGACCAGAGAGAGACCAGAGAGAGAGACTCATATTGTGCCCCGTTTCCACCGGCCTTACTTGGCCCTGCTTCACTCCACTCTACTCAGCTCTACTCTATCTGGTTGCGTTTCCATTACATTTTAATATCTGGATATTGTTCAAATTAGAATCCGGGGGAAATTCCTTGGTAACCATGGCTTTCAGCAGCATCTTCAATCTTCTTCATTCTCCAGTGTGTTTTGCTGAGTATAATATTTATGCAGTTCTCAAGAAGGAAATTCTCCTATGGGACAACAAGGTATTCCTCTCTTGCCCTTAGGAGTAATAAAACCTGTTGCATGCACTTTAAAGAAGGCTGCTAAATTCATATGAAACACAGATAGTGAAAAAAAGAAAAAGAAAAACAGTTTATGCTACTATACTCGCCGGTAGTCTACAATGCCTGTCTTGTCACGGTCAAGCCTTTGTATCAGCTCTTCTATCTGATACCGGTCCAAAGGAATGGTGGATTGCTATAGTGAAACACGGAGAATATTCATAACAGTTAAACAGTTAATGATAGTTTAAAAATAATAATACATAATTGTTATACCACACAGAAAGACATTCCACACCTGCACAGCCTTCCTGAACTCGGCCACAGGGACCCTCATGGTGCCGTCTTTGTCTATGTTCCGGAAGAAATCCCAAAGTCTCAGCTTGCGCTCATCCAAATAGTCCTTATGGGAAGATTTTCAAAAAGTAGATTAAGAGAGCCTTTATCCAACCCACAGTGGGGAAATTTCAGTGTTGCATCACCAGTTACAGAACAGTAATGAGAAGCACACAGCACAACATACATGAACACAACTCTATACTAAATAACTCTGTACTAACGTCTCTACTAAATAAAATAACATCAAATTAAAATCTCCAGCTTTAGCATAATAAGCAGCAGTCTATAATTTATAATAAGAAGAAAAAATTAAATACAAAATCTCTGACATTAGCATAATCAAGATGCAGGTAATATTTCGTTGCCACTTTTTGTACATAATATGTCCTGTTTGCATGTAAATTTCTCCCGTGTGAGAGTATTAAAGTACATCTTATCTTATCTTATACTGTATATTCTTGAAGGAGATGAGGTTAAAGAGAGAATGATAAATAATAAATAAAATACTTTAACAATGCATACCTGGATGACTTTCATTGGGTCGATACGTTTCGGAGGCTTTTTTGCTATAAATCCCCCCACTCCCCCATACTGGACGTCCAGACTGGGGTGGTCCTGGCAGGTCAGCTCCAGCAGATGCACGAAGGTCTCGTTGACGAGCACATTCTACGGATCAATACAGAAAAACCTGCCTCAGTCCAAATCAGCTGTTGTATTGTACAGTTCGAATTGCTTTCAGTCCTCACACTGATGTTGATCTCCTCCAGAGCGTTTCTGTGGCTGCTCTTCACCACGTTGACTAGTGCAAGAGCGCCCTCTACTGTTATAGAGTTGTACTCCAGCTTTATGCACAAACAAAAAAAGAGCCCTGTGAGACACTTTTTGACTTTTTGGGCTGAAAGTTGATTGGCTGAGTGCAGGTAGTCCACTCTTTTTCACAAGCGTATCTAAAAATGTGTCAGAGCATAAACCCCAAAAACACACATGTGAATAGTTTGTGGAGCCACCTACATGTGTTAGCCAGATCCTGTCAGACCTCTGAAGCTAAGTGATCAGCGCCTGGTTAGTAATGTGATGGGAGACCTGCGAGAACACCACAGAGGCATGGTGGAGCCAGATCCATGAGCCAGATGAACTGTTGTTGTTTGGTGTGTGTGAGTATGAGTGTGTGTGTGTATGATTGTTGGTGGTCAGAGGGGGCGATGGCTTTACTGGTTACATGGCCCTAGGGCAGTTGTGGCTACAGTGGTAGTTTATCGCCATTGTGTATGGAGTAATTAAATACTGCCATGAGAAGCATTTATAGTAATTTCCTTATATTAGTATAATGGTATATTTTCACTCAATAAGACCCAGCCCAGTTCAAGTGAACCAGAACAAGTGAGAACGCGGCCTTGACATTAAATCATAATCATTATTTTTATTTTTTCAAAGTATACTGTTTTTGCTCAAATTCGGGAAACTGTATCATTATTTCACATTCTGACCGCCTTAAAACAAGATTAGCCAATGGAACAAGTATCTAAAAAAAATACTAGAAATGTCTCGCTTGAAACGAGAATAAAAAGCAACAGTTCTTGAAATGAGACTAACTGGCTTTGTCCCATCGGCAAATCTTGTATTAAGACAGTCAGAATGTACTCAAATGTTCTCGATGCAAGCAATTATTACTTTATATTTTTGAATTTTTTGCAGTGTAGAAAAAAGTCAGAAATGGAAATGAACGGTGACTTGCCACCTCAGAACAGACATAAAGCATCCCACCAGCAGAACCCTGAGCGTGTCGTTGAACTCCAGGCCTTTGCAGAGCATGCCCACGCCTTCGTTGGTCAGACGGTTGTTGTTTAAGTTGAGGCTAACTAAGGTGTTGTTGAACTTGAGGGCCTCTCCCATGGCCAGGGCTCCTTCATTTCCAAATCCGTTCCACGACAGGTCGAGGTTTTTCAGCATCACGTTTACCTGAAAAGGCCACACAACTATTTCTTCTGCAGTAAATGAATATATTTCCTTCTTCATTATATTTGGCTGATGCTTGGTGCGAGGATGCAGGCCTTTATAAAGCAGAGGTCAAACTCACCTGGAGAGACTCGAGTAAACGCCGCATTAGAAAGATCTTTCATGTGATGTTTGCATTACTATTACTAATACTAATTATTATTATTTATTATGACGAATGACTTTTATTTTATTATGAGTTTGAATATTCTTTTCTCGTTTGAGAAAAATAGATATAAAATTATACATAACATACCACATCCTTTTTTCACTTTTTTTTTTTAAACTTCTTTTAACTGTTGTTGTTGTTATTGTTAGCTTTTTAATTATTATCTATAACTATTATTTAGTTTATCTGAATTTTATAAGACCTTCTCCACTGACTCCCACTGACACCAACAGTCGTTGTGTCCTTGGGCAAGACACTTAGCTTTGCTTTGTCTGAAATATAAGGAGCTGGTGCTCTGGAGTTGTTGCCCATTATGTTGAGAACGAGAGGATATTTAACTAATGTAATTCTAAGCAAAAAAGAAAAAATAAAGTTTTAAAAAAAGAAAAAAGAATTTCATGGGGCATGGAGAATGGTCTTGCGGGCGTCTGTACAGTATCCAAGTATAATACACATGCACACAATATTTCACATATTCCACACAATCCAAGGACAACTTCACCTTAAGCCCTGCAGAGAGGGCGACAGCTCCCTTCATCCTGAGGTAGTTCCAGCTCAGATCTAGCTTCTCTAATCCTTCATTAGTCGCTGGAAAAGAAGCTCAAATGTTTTATTGCAAAATATAATAATTGCAAACACAATTACCCAGAAGATGTCCCAAGTGCTCTCCTCCTTTTCCACAGAACTCATTGTGGCTTAAGTCCAGCTCCTTAATCCTAGAATTAGTCTGGAAACAAAATCATGATTCAGTTAAACCAGGAAGTGACCAACTCATTTTGATCAGGGGCTGAATAAAAACAATCGGAACTGGGTTAGCCAAAAGAATAGAAGGGATTATTGTTTTTCCTCCGAGATAACTACTGCTGTGATTAAGGGCTATACAAGGATAAATTGAATGGAATTTTTTGCACTATCAAGGTATTTCATATGTGCTATGAGTTTCACTGTTATTTGTTACCTGCACTTTTTTTTGTTTATTTTATTCATGTACTTGTCTTGTGCACACTGGGGACTTTTGCAAATGTATTCCAACATGGGTTCTCTGGAAATAATGGAAAATAAAATGAATCTGAACATGAAAAATGTTTTTATTGTTTAGATTTAACCGCAATTGGCCCAAATATCAAGTTAAACTCAATATTTTATAAGTGTTTAACCTCTAATGATGTGGTGTTGGGTGAACCTATTTGCCTTGGTAGCCCATAACCATCAATGCTGCAAGTTGCTGCTGTCTGGGAAGCACCATTGTCTCTTCAAAACTAAGCCATAAGTCTACTAAACCAGGCCTAATTCTGTCTCTCTTTCTGTTTTATTGTGTGTTCCTCCAACATCTGCTGGAGGTACGTACAAAAATCACTGCATGTAATGTGTATGTGACATGTGTATCTGAGTTTCATAATTTCCCCCAAAATTCCTGTAGTCCAAATTTCTGCCAATATCTTACCTGCAAAGCATCGGCAAAGTATTTACCATCATCATCAATAAAACCATTTCCTAAAGAAAAAGCAGTTCAGCATCACACAAAGCAAAGACGCCCATGAAATCATTAGTGTAGCGTTTAGGTCTACCTGATAATCTGATAGATTTCAGAGAGATGTTGTCCAGTAGCAGGTTGGCCACACACTGGGCCCCTGCGCTCAGGAGCCTGTTGTGAGATAAATCCTGTAACAGAAAGAGCAGTGACAGTGGCGCCATGGTGACCCCTGGTGGCCTCGCAAGTGCACTACACACCACATGTTGAACAGTCAGATTGGCCCTCAGCATCTCCACCACATAACTGGCTCCTTCAGCTAAAATGCCATTGTGGGCCAGTTCCAGTTTGTTGATTTGCATGTCAGTCTGTAAAGAGAGCTTATCAACTTTTTTTGACTCCATCGGCCCAAAGTGGGGAAATTTCAGTGTTGCATCACAAGCTATAGAACAGTAGGAATGAGGAGCACACAGCACAAGACACGTGAACAATGGCTATACTAATTAAAAGAAAACAATATCTCTAACTCTATTAACACTTTTGTCAACATAGATAAAGGTGAATGAGTCATGGAAGCTAACAGTGAAGCTGTTAAACTCGTCATTAAATCATGTTGTGACTTTACAACATGAAAAACTGCAGCTTGTATTCAAGTGTGGCCTACATTTGAACAAAAGTGAATATGTTTTCAAATGTATGTGGTGCGGCTTATACACAGGTGCGCCTCATAGTCCAGAAAGTATAGTATCTTGATTAATACTTAGGCTATTCATTTAACACTCAATAACTCACCACAAGGGCAATTGCTATTGCTTTGCAGCCCAGAGGCCCCAGTCCATGGTGATTGAGGTTAACTGTTGTGGAGCCAAGATTTCTCAAAAAGTAAGAGACAGGCACCACCCCCAGCAGCTTGCAGGCCTCCAGGTACACTTCAGCAGTGCCCATCTCCCTAGTGCCATCTTCGTTTTCTATAGAGATGAGGAAAGAGTCTTTTTTGTTTTAGCTAGGTTATCTGTATCTCCCAAACCATTATGAGCTGTGGCACAATCACATTGAAAGCGCAGCCTTATTAACGAAGCAAAGGTTCCATGTTGAAGACAGTTTTGTTTAGCTGTGCATACAACTGGACCACTGGTTGAAAAACACTGGTCTACACACACTGGCTGCTTCATGTGTTGCCATAAACCACCTGAAGCTGATCACAGTAATATTTTATATTATAAAATATATAAAAAAAATATAAAATATATATAAATATAAAATATATAAAAAATACAACAAAAACAAACAAACATTGAACATTATCAATTGTGTAGAACTCACCATCCGACTCCAAGTCTGTTTCAAACTCATTGTGGGCCCAGCCCGGCTCAGTACAGTCCTCCTCTTGTAGAGATAAGGACTCAAAGGACAACATAGACATCATGTGTCCGCTGTCACATACTTTACTCCAGACATTGTTTTCACTTCACGGTCGCTGAGAAATAAAGGAGGAAGTGGCAGACATGTCACTGTGTAATATTCAGGTAATATTACACCATTCATTAATTATAAAGAGAGCGTGGTTCGCAACAGTAGACACTAGACAGGCTCAACACCAGGGAGCTCCAGCCTTTCCCCCGGAGAGATGTATACTTTCTCAGGACCAAAATGAGAGCGAGCCATTCCATGTATCTAGAACTCCCGGAAATTCTGAAACTACTCGTTTTTCAAAAGTTCTATTAAAACGAAGTAATTCATGAGGTATTTTTTTATTATCTTTAATGCGTGCTAAAAATGATTAATATAAATGTAATACTGATTGTTATTCAATAAAGCTTTTGTTGGCACATACAATATGTGTGTGAATATGAATGAAACATTTCGAAATATGCATGGGATAAAAAAGGGAGACACACACACACTGTTATGAATGCTTTGTGGAATTACAGTGCTCAACAGTCACACAGACATGTCCTTGGCTGTGGTCATGTCATGGCTTTGACCTTTGGACCAAGTTTAGATCGAGTTTTGACATTTGGCGCATGCGCAGTATCATATTAGAATCATGATTGGGAGCGTGCTTTATTATGGACTTTACCCACTGTCGCGGTTACTGGCGGGTTGGAACACAGGTACTGTATGCACAGCACGAGTCCCTCCCTAGTCTCTGTCACCACTTGCACCACTGCAGCAGTACATGTGTGGTAAATCAACTTGGGAACAGAAGGAGCCCGGAGCTAAAGGCTGCTAGCGCTAACTCCAGTCTATGCTGTAACTGTGTGAGTGCCATCAGAGGTATTAGCCTCACTTTTACACATGACTACAGCTAAAGACACACCTTTTATTGTTCATCACTGTATTTTCTTTAGCTATCTGCATGTCTGATTAGGAATAGCCTTTTCCATCAATATTATTATTGAATATGGGTGTTATTATTGCATGTACAATATTCATGCACGTAGGTACATTTTATTTTTTATTTTTTTCACATTATATTATCATGGAGACAGGAGGTGGAGGGCTCAAAACCAGAACCGTTGTTCTGTGCAGATGTGTTCATGTATTCTCATGTTTTTTTCTAGAGCCTTCAGCCAGAGCTCCCAGTCCAGAGCCTGTTAAAGACACAGACACCTCAGACAGAGCTCTCACTCCAGTACCTGTTCAAGACACAGACACTTCAGACAGAGCTCTCACTCCTCTTGTTGATGGCACCGCGCTTTGTGATGGTGACACAGTCACATCCTGTCTGTTTGTCCACTCTCAAACTGCTCACCTGGAGGAGGAGCAGCTGCCTTCAGGCCGAGGATCCGGTGCAGAAACAGAGGAAAGGATGAGTGCACAAGAGGAGAAAGATTTTCCATGTGAAAAAGATCCAGTACAAGGTCTGACAGACCAAATACACAAACAGGGCAGGCTAGATCATGATACACTAACAAAGGCACTAGAAGATCGGCCTGGAATAAAAGATGTATCAAACTACTTCAATGCAGAAGAAACAGAAGCTGTGTCTGAGAACAACAACAATGAAGGACTTCTTTCTTCAGAGGCGTTTGAACACCTGCAGACTGAAGACTCCACAGAAACCTGCCCTCCCCAGTCAGAGAGGCCATGTTTAAAAGAGCTCTTGGCTTCACCTAAACATGCAACACCAAAAGACCTGTCCAAGAAGGTCAGTGCGGGGGTCCCTGTGGACTCGGAGTGCTGGGATGAATACATTTCAGCTTTAGAATCTACAATTGAAAACAGAGAAGAAAGTCCCTTGTGTTTGGTACCTCCTGACCACAGTGCTCAGGCCATGCCCCCCCCTGATCACCCCACACAATCTGGGTATCACTTTGCTGTGGGTCCTGGGCTTTCAAACGAGATAGAATGCCCTCTGTGGAAATATCCATCCCTTAGCTATTATCCGACAATGGAGAACACAATGCCGTTGGAAGGTAACATGCATTTTGTGTACTGATATCATTAAAATATTTTCTTTAACGTTTATCTTTGTATGTATTAGTAATGTGGAGGGTCTGGGAAGACTTGGAAGACCGCTCCGACTCAACACCTGCACTGCTGCCTTTCCCCTTCACAAAAACTGAGATTCACTTCACTGTCATGTCCTACAACATCCTGAGCCAAGACCTGCTGGAGGCCAACCTGGAGCTTTACACACACTGCCCTCTGGAGGTGCTAGAATGGAATCACCGCTGTAGACTGCTTCTAAAGGAAATACAGCAATGGACACCAGACGTAAGCTCTGTTAAAAATAATTACAATATACTATTTACATTTGAAATGATCGTCTGATTACATTGTTTTAGATTTTATGTCTTCAAGAAGTGCAGGAAAACCACTTCTACCAAGAGTTGTATCCAGTATTGACTCAGATGGGTATGCTGAATCATGTTAGTAATTCTGTACAAAACTGTAACATAGTGTCTCTTCAGGCTACACTTGTGTGTACAAGCGGCGCACAGGCACAAAGACAGACGGCTGTGCCACATGTTACCGCAGCTGCAGCTTTGCTGAGATATCCGTCAGGGAGGTTGAGTATTTCAGACCAGATATAGAGCTTCTGGACCGTCACAATGTGGCCATTATCGTTCTGCTCCGACCAGTGTTGATCCAAGGCTCTCAGGTCCAGGCACAGGGGCCTCCTCTCTGTGTGGCTAATACTCACCTGCTCTTCAACCCCAGAAGAGGCGACATTAAACTGGCACAGTTAGCCATACTTCTGGCAGAAATGGACAAATTAGTCAAGTCCTGTCAAAAGAAAGGGGAAGATTGTAATGTAATATTATGTGGGGATTTTAACTCTGTCCCCCACACACCTCTGTACCAGCTGATAACTAAAGGAGAGCTATATTTCCAAGGTCTCCCTGCATGGATGGTAGGTTCTGGTTCTGGTATCTATGCAATTGTTGTGACAATACCAATTACATTTACTTGTGAATTTAGATTTCAGGACAGGAGGATCTGTCATATAAATCTTATAGTTACAAACTGCATTCTCCTTTGTGGCCCAAAAAACTTGGAATCAGCGACCGTTGTCAGTACTCTTCAGTAAACCAGGACTTAGAGAAGCACAAGCCTGCAGCAGGTCTGTTTGATCTTCAAAGAACATGATGGCTCTATTTTTGGTTTGTTACATTTGAGTTCTATTCATAGGAAACCGTCACTACAGTCACGAGTTTCTGCTGCAGCTGCGCTTCTGCCCCGCTGCCTGTAACCGACCCTCCGACCTGGAAATGATTTCAGGAGTGACAGATGCCACACCAGGTACAGTCATAATTAAATCAAGATTACTTTGGGCAATAGTAGATCACTTTATTATGGTTTATAAGTTATGTTATATGTTGTTTTCTATTGGACTGTACGCAGATGCTTCTGAGACCCACAAATCTTCCCAGAGGTGAGAGTTGTCCCTGATATCACCATAGACTTTATATTTAGAAGTGGACTGACCGAGAGCTGACGTCACCATAGTGTTACCCTCAATGTAGAAGAAATTGATTTCAACAAAAGCTAGCTGGAACCAATTTCATTATATGCGCATTTGAGCAGACAAATTGTTAACTATGGCAAGATGGAGTTTCGCCTGTGACTGACGGGTTCTCATTGGTCAATCCTTATGGCTCATATCTGGATTTACAGAGACAAAATATAAACTCCAAGATCATATTAAACTAAACCTCATCTTTTTAAGCTCAAAATGGTGAGTGTGACACAAATGATTAATAAGGTAGATTTAAGTCAATTGGTTCCAGAGAAAGTTGGAGCAAAACTTTGCTATTTGACTCCATTGAGCTTGAAGGTTAGCATTGTCCATCTATATACAGTCTATGCTTGTCAATAAGTGTGTATCCAGGTGAGTGTGCAGTGTGCGTGTGCGGGTTCTGGTGTGACTCAGTGTGTTTGTCCAGGTTCAGACATGTCCTGAGTCACAGCTTGGACCTCCAGTCTGTCTATCAGCACGTGCTCCCAGGCTCGGGGAACGCTGAGGTCACAACACTGCACTCTCAGGTGGGGGCCACAGTGGACTACATCTTCTACTCTCCTCAGCGGCCTGCAGACCCACAGGAGCAAGGTAGCACTTCTCGCTTCAGATTGTTTATTTGAGCTCAGAGAAATACATACAGACTTCCCCTTATGGACCAATGGCTCTATGGGTTTATCTTTGCACCTCTTGCGTTTGAATGGTTTCTTTGCTTCAAGATAACTGCCATTGTAATTTAGGACTATAAAAGAATGAATTTAATTGAGTTTAAAGCTGCACTAACTGACTTTATTTTTGTATTAATTACGAAAATGCTATCCATGTCCATGTAGTGCATTGGGATATACGTCCTTTTGAAGAAAAAGTAGCGCAGATTTGTGCTGGCGTGACATTATATTTTAGATCGAGTTTTGATGAAACAAGGAAGAGAATGTGTTTCGGGTCTCAGATTGTGACCAATCACAGCGGACCACTAGCGCCCACTTTCATGAGAAATCTACAGGTCCCTGTTAGCACAGACAGCTGAGTTAACACAGACAGCTGAGTTAACATAGACAGCTGAGTTAGCACAACAAGCGGCGGAGGCTAACCTGAAGCTTCCCGTGTCTTCGTCACCGGTTACTGCTTGAACAGCGAAACAGCCATCCAAAAGAAAGTCACGTTCCTCCGCGCTTCCCTGTTCTATCGTTCTATGGTCACGCCATCCACGTGAAAATCCACATCCATGTATTATCCATATTGGGAGACGCTAGCTCCGTCAACAACAGTGGGTGCGTGTGGGGGGCGATAGCTTCGTCGGGTCCGGGGAGGGGAGGAGAAAGAGCGAGGTCAGCGAGTCCGCGGCTTCAAAATCCCAAAGTCAGTTAGTGCAGCTTTAAGTGATAAAAAGAACAAAAAAGGAGTGGGCAGATGAAAAATACTTGAACGCCTACCTCTTCATTTAATTGTTAAAGTAAATGTTTGATATGTCAGAGTAATACAGACATAGTTAATCAACATTATTATAACACTGAAATTTGTTTTTTTTTAAATGCAAAAATGTGTTTAAATGTGCCTTGATTTGAGCATGTGGACTGCCTTAATGCAAGATTTGCCCAAGAAAAAGTATCTTGTTATAAAAAGATACAAGAAATGCCTCCCTTGGAATGAGAAAATAAAGCGTAAGTTCTTAAAATAATCTAAATGGCTTTGTCCCTCTGGCAAATCTTGTTTTAAGACGGTCAGAATGTACCAAAATGAAGACAAAAATCACTCTAAGCAAGGTTTACCTCATATTTGATATTTCTTTGGTTTTAGAAAAGTGTAATGTTTTAATCCTTGAATTTATGTTGTCAGGAGAGTCTTGCTTATTGAGGAGCGGTCTGAAGGCGGTCGGTTGCCTGTCGCTTCAGTCGGAGGATGCCTTGTGGTCGATGAACGGTCTTCCCAGTCACACGTTTCCCTCTGATCACCTCAGTCTATTGGCTAAATTCCAGGTGGACATAATTGCAACATTGTAACAGAGAAAAACAACACAATGAAGAAGAAAATCAGTGCCTTAACTAACAATGTTTAAGAAATGTATCTCCTGGAAGTTTTCAAAATGTAAATTTGTTCTTTTGATTCAGATAATTGACTGTGATTTGGTTTGGAGGGACTCAGAAACAAGAATTTCCAGGATTAAGTAAAGACTGAATCTTTTATTTTGTTTAAAGTTGGTTAAATCATTATTTTTTAGAGAAGGTTCTAATGCTGGTTCATCTAGATTTTTAAGGTGTCAGGCAATAAATATTTTCGTATTTTTATTCACCCCTCGACTTGTGTGTGTGATCTCAGTCAAATACTAAGGTTCCAGTGAGTGGTGCTTTATTCAAAAATCAACTTGTACAAAACAGGTCATTTTCAACCAGAGGAAACAACAGAAAGATACAGCAATAGATGAGAATATACATCAAAAACAAGACTACACAAGTAAAGAATGCATGTTTTTATTAGCTACAAAAAATAAAAGCACGTGTCATTGTCGTTACACCTTGTCCATATTCTGAATTGTCAAAATTGTCTAAAGCAAATACAGGAGGTCCTTATTTCTCTCAAGGCACAAGGGGTTACAGTAAAACAGGTGAACAGTAGAAACACTTTTTAACAGTGATCATGAACCAAAGCTTATTGCAGAGGAGGAAAAACATCAAAAAGCACATGGACAGTTGGTGGATTTGTGTTTTTATTCCCGGTCTCCACAAGATACTGGATTGTAGCTATATTTTAAAAACAAAGGATCACATGCCTGGAAATGTGTAAAAGACCTGTCATCTGGTTGTCAAAGGCTGGTGACCTTTTCAAAAACAGTGGCGTGTGCATAAGCCATTGTGCAACATAAAAAAGTGGCTATTTTAAAACATCAAATGAGTGACTTTGTCCAAATAATGCAGGTATACAAAACTGCTGATACTGTGGTGGTTTTTACACTCGGATCTGATACGCGTTCATGTCTGCAGAAGATTGTTGATCCAGAACTTTCTTCTCAGCAGAAGGACTGAAAGAAATAAAGCATTTACTGCTGATGTCAACGAATTCCCCCCAAAAAACTAGGATACAGGTTCATGCCATAGACTGTAAATATGAAAGCACTTGTTTGGGCTAATCAACTGTGAGGAATAATGACTACAAGTTCTACATTTTGTATTTAAATACAAACTGTATAAACTGCAAAGTGATTAATAAATGTTGCTTTTGTAGTTACCAGATAACCTACACAAGAAATGGTACTTTTTTGTCATTGCAGGGGTCTCCTCCAGCCTCTTTCAGGTAGGCCCCCAAAAGATTTATAGTTTAACATATATAAATGAATTATGAATGATTATATGTTGAGTCACTACATATCTATTTTAAGTACAGATGTAGGTTATACAGTATTATGGTATTTGTGTATCTGTGTTCTGCATGCTTTGTCATAGTAATTATTTAGATGTTTAATCCTAGCCTACAGAAGGGAGTAGCTTTCTGTCTTGTCTGTTCTATAAAAGTATCTCTTCTGCTGTAGCCTGTCCTTCCAATGATAAATTATTGGGAAATATTTGAATTGAATACAGGTCCGATAAGTGATTAATTTAATTCTGTTTTAATCCTCTCATGTCTGACGAAGGTGTGAGTGACAATCGAAACATGTCATGGCAATTACACTGTTATCAATCAGTACAAAAATACAGTGAATTTAAAACGTGACAAGTACATACAGTGCAAAATGTATGAATGTAGCTAATAGACTCATTGAAAACTAAAATGTGCTATATAATGAATACATACCGCTTCTCTATGCGGCTGATCCTGCGCATGGGGCTGGCAGGGGCCTTGTGGGGGGAGCCCATGCTGTTTCTCCTGTCTTTGGTGGGGGACGGAGGAGGCTTCCCGATCTGAGGGGTCAATACAAACTTTGTTTATAGTCAATGAAAGTCAACTCTATACCAGATTCATGTTTGGTCTATTTTTAAATTCATTTTTTATCTAAACTGGAACGGTCCATCACAAATCATAGAACACATTTATGATGCTTTATAATACTGTCATTGATCAAATAATACTAAATAAATAGATAATAAAAGTGTTGAAAAAATCTCCCCTCTGTTTGGGACATTGTACTTTGTCCAGACCTGCTTTCACATGGTCTGAGAGACTGTAATAGTAGTAGTAATCTTTATTTATATACCGCCTTTTCACTGCAGATCAGAGTCTCAAAGCGGTTTACAATTGTTATTTTTGGGCATTTGTCTTTCACTCCACACAGAGATAGGAGCAGGGGCGCCAGTACAGGAGGCACATGCCAGATCCATTGTGCACATTTTTAGTGGTAGGGGAAGCCGGAGTACCCGGAGGAAACCTACGCAGACACGGGGAGAACATGCAAACTCCACTCAGAAAGGCCCTGGGCCAACCGGGATTCGAACCCAGGGACCTTCTTGCTGATAGCCGTGCCGCTGTCGAGGGATCTCTCTGTTCTGTGTAGAGCCTGGTCTTCTCTTCCCTGGTCCTTTTGCTGAATAATTTTACTAGGATCTCTTGTCGGATTTACGCCTGTCAAAGGCGGTGGCTACAAGGTGGAAGTCCCCTCACTCAATGTCTTTCTGCCTATTTGGAACTGTCCAAAAGGTCCTTACTTGACTTGACATGACTTACTTTCTTGCTTGCTTGTGCTTTTAGTATTGATGAAAAATCTGAATACTTTCAAAAACCCAAACCCAAACAGTAGTCTCATTGGTAAAACAAATGCACAGCACAAACTCTTGCAGAAGCACCAACCAATGTTCTTCATGTGAATGTGGAAAGCTCTCGGATATTGATGTTTGGAGGCAGGCGGCCGTGAGCGACAAAGAGCAGAGCCGAATAAAGACCTCATCAGGTTTACGATACGGAAACTCAGCGCAGCGGTGATCACAGGGCCATTCATGTCTCAGAGTAATGAACCAAAGCCTAATCTACTCCGAGTGCAGTACAAGAGCGTTAGTTTGAGCCTGTAACTCCTCAGCTCATTATCAACATTTATGGGCATTAATCATCTGTCCCTTATAGACCAATGGCTATCTGTGTTTTTTATCATTGCATTTCTTGTGTAAATTGAATTGAATTGTATCTCTATTTGAAACAATTTAACAGACAGTTTTCAAACATGCAGACATACACAAAGGCTAAAACATATTTTCTACAAATGTGTGACAAAAAACTGGATACGTTGTGTATTAAAGTAGGCCAGTGGTGTGAATGGGTAGTGCAGTTGTTCCTTTAGTCCCTGTGTGCCCCCTCGCCAGCATAGACGGGGAATTAGCACCCCGGTGAAAAAAAAAATATATATATATATATATTTGCGAGGGGACCATAACTATTTTTAGGCCATACTAAAGTAAGCCAATTTGTAGCTCATCTTTAGCTATTTCTGCTTTTAAACTTTGGCTCATTTATGTTATAGTATGTTTGTATGTTGTCTGTATTTTGACCCTATATCTATAGCTGTAAACCCTTTGCTCCTAGGAGGGCGGTTGGCTACAGGAAGAAGTTCTGATCTACACTCATCCACATTCACACCTCTAGACCCCTAGGCAGTTCTGTTGCCCGATGCCACCACGGCAGGGATTCATGGCCCGGCGTACCTCTCACATTCAACACTCTCTTCACGTCATCACTCCATCGCTACCTTGGCCTAGCTCTCAATCTACGACCACTCATGCAACTATTCATCCCTCTCTTCGCCAATCATTTTCTGCATATGTCCTTACACATGTCACATCTCAATACACATGCATGCATTTTGACCATAGTTTTTGTTTTCTTGTAAATAAAATAATTACATCGCTAGACTGAAGCAAAACGATGACCCCGGTTGGGGTAGTGTTTTGAGGCTTACGGGGTCAAGTACAGACTTCCGTAAGTGTTGAACTTTAAGCTGCCACTTTTTCAATTTCTTTGAACCCTGCGGCCTCTATAGCGATGCTGCCATTGTATATATTTTGTTGTTGTGGTAGAGTTGGACACCACTATTGCTACTACCGACACCTCTATTCCTAATACTGGCATCACTAATGCTAATACTAACATCACTATTGCTAGCCCTGACATATACCTTGAGCCTCATGTCCCGTGTGTGTCTGTCCAGCTCCCGTCTCAGCTCGTCCCGGCTCAGTTTGTCCAGGTCCAGGATGGAGTGTTTCCATTCTATCTGCTCCACACTGTGCGGGTCATGTGACACATACTGGCCGATCCGGATCTTGCGCAGCGTGTGCCAGTATCCCCTGTAAGCCGCTTGGAACTCCTCCACCAGGTCCATGAGGGTCCGGAACTCCAGGGGCTTGAACATGAGCTCCTCCCGCCGGCTCATCCCCAGAGCACCGAACCGGCCCCCGCTGTGGACCCCCAACACAATGTGGTGGAAGTGGTTCCCTGAGAACTGGGACTTAAAGCTGAGGGGGAAGCGCTCCACACCGGGCATGTTGTTGGTGAGATGACTTCAGGAGGTCAAGGTCCAACATGAGGCTTGTCACCAGTTACTAAATATCGACTTTGGGGCAGTGACATGTTTATTTAATGTTAATTTAATTTCTTTTTATAGTAGAGTTGGAGATTTTATTTCATTTTAGTATAGAGTGATTATTAATTTATTATGTGCTGTGTGCTCCTCATTCTTACTGTTCTGAAACTTGTGATGCAACACTGAAATTTCCCCAGTGTGGGACGAATAAAGGATCTCTTAATCTTAATCTGATTGGTTTGTGTAAGCTCTCAGTCGTACAGGGATTAGTCAAAGCAAAGGAAGGTTTCTCACCCATCATCTGTACTTCTTAGCAAGTTTTCCCGACGTTTCGTCCTCAACCTAGCGGACTTCTTCAGGGAATGAATTCTCGGACCGCGCGTTGGAGATTTATAACCTATGGGTGTGGTTAGCCACACCCTTTCTAGATTCTCGGACCGCGCGTTGGAGATTTATAACCTATGGGTGTGGTTAGCCACACCCTTTCTAGATTGAACTCGCCTTTCTAGATTGTAAGGTCATCATACTGGAGAACGGACAATTAGAGACTGAGGTCTTCAGAAAGTCCACTCACACTGACCAGTACCTGGCCTTTGACTCAAATCATCCGCTACAACACAAACTCGGGGTCATTAGAACGCTTCAACACCGAACCCACCAGGTCCCCACAAGCTCGGAGGGAAAGAACAGAGAAACCAAACATGTTCAGAGAGCACTTTCCAGATGTGGCTACCCCAAGTGGTCTTTTACTAAAGCCCAAAGGACGAGAAAGGCCAGAGACACAATCCAACAGACAGAAGAAAGTAGGAGGAGAGGCGTGTCCTTACCGTATGTGGCGGGAGTTTCAGAGAAACTACAAAGAATCTTTAGGCAACACAAAATCCCTGTGTATTTCAAACCTTTCAACACGTTAAGACAGAAATTAGTGCATCCCAAAGACAAAACACCCAGACACAAACAGAGCAATGTGGTGTATTCAATTAAATGTAGTGAAGAGGAGTGCACTGACCACTATATTGGAGAAACCAAACAAACTCTACAGAAACGACTTTACCAACACCGTAGAGAAAACTCTAGTGGGCCACAGTCGGCTGTTCATCTCCACCTCAAGGCCTCCAACCACACGGTGGATGACACAGAGGTTAAAATTCTGGCTCGGGAGAAGAATTGGTTTGAGAGAGGAGTGAAAGAAGCCATTTTTGTGAGGAAACAAAAACCTTCTCTTAACAGAGGAGGAGGGTTAAGATTTGTTTTGCCTCGCATCTATGACAACATCCTAAAAACAATGCCCTAACTTGGGACAAGGTCAGTGACATGCTAATGAGTTAGGAGGGGTGAGACCTGCACTCCACTTGAGCATCCCAGCAGACAATAGGTCAGTGACATGCTAATGAGTTAGGAGGGGTGAGACCTGCACTCCACTTGAGCATCCCAGCAGACAATAGGTCTGTGACATGCTAATGAGTTAGGGTCGTTCCCCGCAGCAGGGTCGTTAGACCTGCTCCCTTCTACATCAAGCAGACCTTAGTTTGTTTACGAGTTAGTATCAGGATTAGGGTGTGGCTAACCACACCCATAGGTTATAAATCTCCAACGCGCGGTCCGAGAATTCATTCCCTGAAGAAGTCCGCTAGGTTGAGGACGAAACGTCGGGAAAACTTGATAAGAAGTACAGATGATGGGTGAGAAACCTTCCTTTGCCTTAATCTGATTGATCACAATTTATTGATTATTGAAATAGTTGTCATCTAACCTAGCAATTGATTAGCTGAGTGATATCTTCATTGAGATGACATGATACACATCGGGTTCTTTACGTAAACATATTTTGAAAACATATTTTTGTTTAATTTTGCAGTCATTATGGATTTATCTGAGTTATAAAACTTCTTCTCTGCCTGTTTAATTCCATGAGTAGGGTTAGTAAAAAACAATATCAATTGATGATTATTATTTCAAGAATTGTAACAGAACTTGCTGGACTATTAAAGGCACCTTTATAGCCATACCAGCTACCATTTAGTACATTTTGTCCACATATAGGCCTCACTTGAACAAAGAGATAATTGTTTTAACTGGACACACCATGATTTAACGATGATATATCATCTAACTGGTTGATTAAAGCAGTAAATTCTGACAATAACATTCCTTGTAAATGGGGTCAAAATAATAAGTCTATAAACCGCTCTCTCTCTCTGCTGTTCACATAAACACATCGGGAAGCAGGAATCAACACCTGCTAGAGCTGTGTCCATAGCCCTTCCTAGACCCCAGGGGGCGCTCTAACCGAATAATAACACAATCTGAATCGCTATAAAAGTTGAAACGATCTTAGAAAAAGTAGCGGCTTATAGTCCAGCGAGTACTGTAGTTGTGATTAATCTATGAACTGTTTTTCAAGGATACATTCCCAAGATTACAGCTTCCAGACACTTGATTGGCAGAGCCTCACGCACCATGTCCTTAGCAATGTCCAATAATCTGTGGAGAAAATAATCCAAACAATATTTTAAAAAATAAAATATTTCACAATAAAACCAGTATAGTGATTCATATTTCCAGGACATAGTTGTAATTGGATCAGTTAATAAATCTAATTTTACTAATTTAATCATATGTTAAAAGATCATAACGACAACTCAAGCTACTTTGAAAACACCGATGTAACAACATAATCCTTACCCGGTTAAAGGGCGAGTCTTCTTGATTTCAAAAAATTGTGTTCCTGTGTGATTGTACCTGGAGGTTTAAAAGTTAAGGTCTTCCAATGGAAAAGACAGGTCTTATTATTATAAGGTTCTACTTTGTAAAAAAAAAAAAAAAAAAAAAATAGAACCAGGAAGTACGATCACATTTTGGTTTGCATTAAATGTGGCTCCTTTACTGCTTGTAAATAAAAATGTATTTAATTTTTACCATGTGCACCTGGTTGGTGCTACATCCCTTTCCCCTTCACGAGGTTCATATGGGTTTGTTCTTCACTGCATACATAAACAAAATAAGATGCGTAAATATCATGTTTCTACTGCTTAATAAAGAGACAAAGTATTAAAAACGTCCACTTCCACCACCACTTCCACCATCAGATAAAGTATCAACCTGTATACCAGAAGTGTTCAAACTTCGGACCAGGTACCAACTGGAAAAAGGTACCTTGCCAACAAAAAGTAGCCATTGTGGCACTTTGACAGTGTCATTCAGCCAACTTCAGCTCCATCAATAGAGTCATGCCATAGTCATCAAAATTCTTTTACAATCTGGGTAGTCGGCCCTTGGACAAGTCTGGTGGACCAACACGGCCCTCTTACTCAAAGGTTTGGGCTCCCCGGCTGTAGTGCCTGCGAATCCATAGTGGTGTCAGATTCTGCAGGCAATGTGAGAGGAACATTGTCAACCTTGTGATTCTTGGGTTTACAGTCATGGGAGTGCTCTGGGGAAGAGTCACAGACGCTAAAGAGATCTGAGGAGTGAGGAGGAGCAGAGTGGAAACATAATGTGAGTACAGCTATATTTATACATGTTTACAGAACTTGCTGGACTAAAAGCCACAACTCTACCTGCAGCCTATAGTGAATAGCAATTCGGCCAATGTATGTATTATTTAACTCACAAAAAATACACATATTAGCCGCATTGCTATATAAAACCTCAGGGTTCAAATGACTAGAATCACTAGATAATCTGTGTAATGTTTCTCGACATCGACCTACACCTCTTATTTAGCACTAAAGTCTTATACACAACTTAGTTATTATTTTAATTATTGTAAAATTTATAGGATCTTTGAAAACATGTCACCTACAATCTGATGTACATAATGACCGAAGAAATAAACTACTACTTATGAACTACTACAGAAGCGCTAAACAGTCCAGCTAGTATTGTAATAATGGATGGGTTTCTGACTGTACACTTTGACCCGAGGATAGTAAAGCGCCACTCAAGCAGATCTATAACTTCTGTGTACAAAGGATACTGCAAATCCCTGATGTACTTCTGAATGGCTTCCAGGCGCTGTGGGATGGTGGTGGTAGGCTGGTATGTAGGCACACTTGGTATTGGAATCTGGAAGATAGAGAAACCATAGAATGTCATTGTGAACATGCAATCCTCACAAAGAGAGAGGGGAGTGTTGTATTTCTGCTGCGGACTACTGTGCTTCTTTATTTTGAATTTGACAAGTGCTGCTATTATGCGAATGGACAGTTTGACCTGGTTCTTTTCTGTGTAAGGTTGTACCTATGAAACAAAGACTCCGTTGCTTTTGAAAGTGAAATTTTTACAGCCATGTTGACAAATATTATAAACTCTAAAAAGCATTTGCAATGCTGATTATCTAAATACATATTCATACATAAACAATACAATACTGTAAAATACAGTCCAAATTGTATTTTGATGCTGAAACCGATAATCCAAAGAAAATGTCTAAACCCCAGAACCTGCAGCACAAGTGATATGATCTGTAGCTTAAAGGTAAACAGGCCTAAACACATACTTTCAACATAAAAGAGTTTAACATACATACTTCTGGAGTATGTGAAAGATTTTTTACTCTTTAACATCAGGGGGTACTTGTGCGCTGTCTGCCCTGTTAAGAGGGTACAGGGCAGAAAAGATGGGGACCATTGGACTAAACGTCTAGAGCAGTGTCTCCCAAAGTGGGATCCGTGGCCCCCACTTAGGGGGCAATAATTATAAAAAACATGTTTTGAAATAATTATTGTATGTTAAATTAATAATATTTTGTTTGGAATATTAAAATATTTGTGTTCATTATTCGACTCGAATAATCAAATTGTAATCATTTTTGCATTACAAAATGGGGTGCGTCATTTACATGTTTGTAGCAGAGGCTATTTCCCCCGAATAAAATAACGAGAAGAGGCTATTTTTAACGTTGTCTTCTTGGTCATTATTTCTGGGGGCCGCGCAGAACCATCAGATATTTAAGGGGGCCGCGATGTTACTGACTTTGGGAATGGCTGGCCTAGAGCATTACTTTTTAGTAAGAGGGTAACTAAAGTTAACCAAAATTGTCCTGAGGCCAACAATACAGATTAACCCTGTTTAGACCAGCCCTACTCCACTTTACTCGGCTCTGCTGTACCTGGTTGTGTTTCCATTACATCTTAGCAACCAACTCACCATAAAACCATTATCAAGGGAAATTACTTGGTAAACGTGGCTTCCAACAGCAAACTGGCCAGTATCAGTTAGATGGATAGATAGATAATACATTATTGATCCCCCATAGGTGAAATTCAGGTGTCCAGTTGCTGCAGAAACACATCCTTCCACACAAACAAAACAACTGAATACATAATTCTTAAAGTAGCTAACACTAGAAATGAAAAATATATATAATGCTCCAATTCTTCTCTTAGTACCAGCCCGGCCTGGACAGAACCAGGCCCAATCCAGTACTAAAATAAAAGTACCCGGTACCGGTTAAGTGCAGCAAGTAAATATCAATCATATAACATCATATAATTTGGAAAAACCTATAAAACACAGACCAAGACCCAAATACAGGATACACAAACATGTTATTATTGCAGTGGTTTGCTCTTAAGTTGTCTAACGAGATAGCTGATCCACTTTACCTTAGGCAGGTCAGTGGCGCCCCGGATGCTCTTGCCTAAATCCTCTGTTGGGTGAATTCTGGCCACATGCCGCCACATCCTCTCCCAAGTCTCTTCGTCCATCGGGATGCCTCCTCTATTGACATAGAAGGGTACCTCTCCATCCCGCATGTCCTCCTCATCCTCCTCATCTCTGTCGTCCAGGGACCCCACAGCAGTCTTCAGCATCTCTGCAGTGACCTCAGACCTCTGCTCTCACTGATGATCCAGCTTTCAGCACTGATCTCCAGCACATGACAAGCAGCACCAGACACCGCAGGCACAGGGAAGATCCTCAGATATCAGATTTAAAGTTGGCTCAAGAGGTGGCTTTCAATAGTAGAGTACAGAGAAATAGAAATGAAGACACGGTGTGGCTTATAACGTTTTGCATTCAAATTTCAAAAAAGGCTACAGATAATGTGACTCAAAAAGGCAAAATACAACGGAAGACACATTTATCACTCCGACGTGCGCGTCAATCCAATAGCTTCATTCTTCTAACAGGATGAGGCTAATTAGATAAGGCATTAAAGTAGGCTTACAAATTCCTGGAGTCGTTAGGTCATTCTAACGGTAAATCTGAGGCAAATCACGGCTGTGGTCTTACTCTTGTCTTTCGCTTTCGCCTCCGCTCGTCCCGTTATAACAGGCAGATCTTGCTCCTTCAGTTCTGCTTATTGTTCTTGCAGATGCTCCAACCTTCAGCGAGAACAGACACTCCCTGACACTGCGCATGCGCAATGGCCAAGCGCGATGGCGCTAACAAATGCAGCATTCAAGTGCACTTAAGCGAATGAGACCGTAAAACATGCTCAACAACCCTACATTCAAGATACAAGCAGGATCTGGGTTATACTGTTTATTTACCAATGTAGTAGTGCTATATTGAGATCTCTGGAAATACCAGTGCAATGGTGGGGCAGCCAGATGCAACATTTGCGTTGTGTCCTTAACCCTCTATGGCATGACTTTTTATTTTAGGGGGAAAAAAATATTTCAACACACTTTTTAAGAGCTCGTGGGTCCCTAATAACATATTGATCTTTACATTTGACCCCCCCCCCACCCCCCCAATCAGATAATGGTTTGTTGCTTAAGGGCAACATTGTGCGACGAGGGTACTAAAACACCAAGGTTTTCAATATTACATTGAATTAGGAAAATAATAAAACAAATACATTAGAGAAGTTTTTATTCTTTTATTTTTCAAGCTCAACTTTTTTAAACGGGTACAGAGCACTCCAGATTGCAAAAACAAAAGCAAAAACAGTTCTGAGCCTCTAGTAAGTCACACAGCTGCGGGTCTCGGTAGCCTATTGTGTATGGAACAGCAAGAAGCAGTTGCTAGTGGCTGTGAAACATAGATGTTTCACAGCCAAGACAGAGACCTGAGACCAGGACTAATGTGAGAGGACTTCAGGACAGAGACCTGAGACCAGGACTAATGTGAGAGGACTTCAGGACAGAGACTTGAGACCAGGACTAATGTGAGAGGACTTCAGGACAGAGACCTGAGACCAGGACTAATGTGAGAGGACTTCAGGACAGAGACTTGAGACCAGGACTAATGTGAGGGACTTCAGGACAGAGACCTGAGACCAGGACTAATGTGAGAGGACTTCAGGACAGAGACCTGAGACCTGGACTAATGTGAGAGGACTTCAGGACAGAGACCTGAGACCAGGACTAATGTGAGAGGACTTCAGGACAGAGACCTGAGACCAGGACTAATGTGAGAGGACTTCAGGACAGAGACCTGAGACCAGGACTAATGTGAGAGGACTTCAGGACAGAGACCTGAGACCTGGACTAATGTGAGAGGACTTCAGGACAGAGACCTGAGACCAGGACTAATGTGAGAGGACTTCAGGACAGAGACCTGAGACCAGGACTAATGTGAGAGGACTTCAGGACAGAGACCTGAGACCTGGACTAATGTGAGAGGACTTCAGGACAGAGACCTGAGACCAGGACTAATGTGAGAGGACTTCAGGACAGAGACCTGAGACCAGGACTAATGTGGGAGGACTTCAGGACAGAGACCTGAGACCAGGACTAATGTGAGAGGACTTCAGGACAGAGACCTGAGACCAGGACTAATGTGAGAGGACTTCAGGACAGAGACCTGAGACCAGGACTAATGTGAGAGGACTTCAGGACAGAGACCTGAGACCAGGACTAATGTGAGAGGACTTCAGGACAGAGACCTGAGACCAGGACTAATGTGAGAGGACTTCAGGACAGAGACCTGAGACCAGGACTAATGTGAGAGGACTTCAGGACAGAGACCTGAGACCAGGACTAATGTGGGAGAACTTCAGGACAGAGACCTGAGACCAGGACTAATGTGAGAGGACTTCAGGACAGAGACCTGAGACCAGGACTAATGTGAGAGGACTTCAGGACAGAGACCTGAGACCAGGACTAATGTGGGAGGACTTCAGGACAGAGACCTGAGACCAGGACTAATGTGAGAGGACTTCAGGACAGAGACCTGAGACCAGGACTAATGTGAGAGGACTTCAGGACAGAGACCTGAGACCAGGACTATCGATTGGAATGTCCCTAACTCCTTCATTCTTGGACCCGTAAAACGTTATTGCATCCATTTCCTACAAGCAATAGTAGATAGATCAGAATGGAAGATAGAACAGCAAAAAACATTGAGTGTGGTGTTGATTATCCATTCAAGCACATCCCCAACCAGCAGCATTACACTGCCCAAACAAAAGTGCTACAACTGCATGATGTTGCCTTGAGGCAACAAACCTAAACGTGCAGTTTTTGTATATAAATGGAAACAAAAAACATATATTAACAATCAAATATGCTTCTTAACATATTCATGCACAGTCACATATTTATTTTATCAAGTTTTTCGAATTTAAACATGTAGAAAAGTTATATTTATCCTACCTTTTTCTGGCACTGTGTCACTTGTGACTCTGCTTCCTGAAAGGACTGCTCCACCCCCAGACAATTGCCCCCACCCACTTCAGAACTTGATTTAATTGGACAGAAACATGTCTAGTAATTTTATAAAAATAAAAAATAAAAAAAAACATTAAAGGGCCAGTGTAAGAGCCAAAAGATTGGTTTGTTGCCCGAGGGCAACAGTATGCCATAGAGGGTTAAGCAAGACACTTACACTAGGCAATGTGGGTTAAGTGTGTGAATGATTGATGGCAAACTGGATCCCTCTTTCTTCAGTCGTCTCCAGGCCAGTTGTGGCTACAGTGGTAGATTACCACCACATATGGAGTGAATGAAGGATGCCATTTGAGTGTCCAGAAAAATGTGCAAAACAAGTAGTATGCTTTATTATGCTAAATTTCATATTTCACAAGTTCTTATTAAATATTTTGGCACCATCCAAAATCACAGGTCATCCTGGAGGGCATCACAAAATTGCTGATTTGCCAACAGAATTTTAAAAAGTTTGTTAAAAGATTGTCCTTGATTTTGGTTTAATCACTAGGGCACCTAATGGTTCTATGTGCGTATAGAAAATGTGTAAGGAACCCACAGTGTGAAATATTTTCTCCCCTGCAATCCTGTAAATAAACCTTTTAAATTCATAATTCTTCCTGAACATTTATACAGCATATAATCTTGCGTGGTTTTGTTAGTCAGCATATTTGACAAATGGTAACTATACAAAGTATCACCAACACATACATAATTAAATTATAACTGAGGACCATTGCATGTGAAAGTACATTTATTAATATCAAACTGCACAAAAACTGTCAACAAAGCGGAAAAGTAAAATGAGTATCACTTATTTCTTTATGTACAAGATGAGTATTGGAATGATTAAAATCGAGGTGCACCGTAATCGTCAGGCATCCTTTCAATGTTGTACCTAAAATGGAAAGAAATGTTATGGATTCACAATCTTTACAAGTTGTACATGTAAGAGTATGAAGAGGCTCACCTATGGTTGGAAATGTACATGATGGGCACCCCTGGGATCTTTCGGATTCGTCGCTTCAGATCTCTGTCGACAGTTGCTAAGATATAACACTTGTGCTGAGGAGAGAAGGAGAAATAATTGCAGTCTTTAATTGTCAGTTTTTATTGCATGTAGGCATACACCAAGCATTTCTATGCCAGATACTCATCTTGAGACTTTGGCTTTCAATATATATTGCTCAAAATAGGGTTAGCTCCAAATCAAGTTGACTTGTAACAAAATATTAAATAATCTACTTAGTTGACTGGGACATTGCACAATAAGTGTATTGTACAGACACATTTTCATTTGTCCCAGGTACCAGGGCTGAGGCAATTTTTTACAATTTTATTATTGACCCTTAATTAGAAATCTAGAAAGGGGAAGTTTGGCCACAAAGAAGGGGTGGGTGTTGCGTCAAATTAATAACCAGAATGACCTAGTTTGCATTTAAAATATAAGTAAAATGTAGAACCTTTACAAAGAGACACAATATATACAACACACACATATTTACAATGTGCTTTATGAATATTTTTGAGCCATGTCTTCAGGCTGAATTTAGTAAACTATACTACCTACCAGCCAGAGGTAGAGTTACAGGCCCCCGCTGTTTTGAAAGAGAAGTAAATGGGTTCAAATTGTGTTTTAACTGTTATTTATCCGGCAAGTAATGACGGAACATCTTTGTTTAAGTAAAAGTTAAAACTCTTTAATATTCTAGGGTAATATTCTAGGGTAAAATCAGCCAGAAATTAGACTTATCATATAAACAGAAATATTTAAAGAATCAGGTTACCAACTTTACCAAGATCCAACCTTTCCAAGTTTGTCACAGATATTGTACTGGTGCATCCCAAAGTATGTGTTTTGTTAAAAAAAATAAAAAAAATAAAAAAATAAAAAAAATAAAATGCATGTCACCTGAGTTACTCTTTGAACTAAACAGTCATCTGCATATGTTCCTTTGTGGGTACACGTTAGCCGCTCAAACCTGGGATCCTTTGCAATCCTGTGGTGTGAAAGAAGTTTGGAATCAGAAATTAAAACATACTCTTTCTCAATCTTTGATCAATACTCTTTTGTATACGATTAACACAGAAAAAGTACAATGTTTTTGGTACCAATGCTTCCTGAATGGTACTTTATTTACAACGCTCACTATTGTACATTGTTGCTGATACATCATATTTGGCAAACTTTAACAATAGGATTTACATTTGTACACAAAGATTTTAAAGAGCCTTACCTTAGAGCTACTCTGTACTTCATTCCAAGCTTTTCGATTTCAGCCATCACACAGTCAGTAATGTATGGTATGCCTAGGTTTGTTAAAAGTACAGTAAATGCATAGAAGGGACAATATTTTCTAAGTGTAAGAACTCCCAGTGCTTACATTTTGCATAAAGACAATCCATCATTGATTGTACTATGTCTAGTTTAGCCTTGATGGAGAAGTTTATGAAATTAGTGTCCACAAGAACGTGGTATGGAGGGCCAAGCTGGGTATTATACTGGAAGAACAAGCAAGACGGATATTTTGGTCTGTAAAAGAGGACATTAACATTAGGAAACACAAACTAAACATCCCCGATCTACCAAATACCAAGAAAGACCACAATTACACTTCTTTCTCTTTAATTGCAGACGGATCTTTTTTCTTTTTTTCACTTGGTTTTGCACGGTCCTTTTCTTTTCTACAAAAAAAATATATAATTTAGTAATGTAAAATAACATTTACAAGAATGCCTTATTTGCCATGTAAGTAACTACATTTATAAAAACAATAACTTACATTCTTTGATCTTTTGGACTGATCATTCTTTTCATTGCAGCAAACTTCTTTGTTTTCTGTTTCCCCTGTTTGACAGAAATGAAAAGGTGAAAATCCTATAATAAATGCTTCGATGTTTTATACACATGGTTTGTTGACGTACAGACATCCTGATTAGAGAAAATGGATAATTAAGAACTCAATTATGTATTGAAAATGCCACGTTGTGTTTATCGATCAGTATACACAGTAGCGACCTGTGTTAATTGCTCTCGTGAAGGACTTTCAGTTCAAATATGTTCAATTAATTTTAAAGCTTGGGATTGGCAAGAAAATTGGGATTAGCCATAGATAATCAGAGAATGAAAAAATATAGAGAAAAGTTCTGACTATTATTTGTATGGGGCTGAGACGAATAACTTTTGTTCTGAGAATCAAAGCAAAGGAAATGTAAGAGAATTTAAAAAAGTGAATTATATCTTCTTTTTAATTAGGACTAGGAATGTTCATTTAAATGGACAAAGAGTATATGCTAGAAAACAGCACTAGCTTGTTGTATTCGTTGTCCCTTAAAACGCCCTATGGTTAACATAATATAGCAAGATATTCTATCAGTGTAGCAAACACGCTAAGCTAACGTGTGTGTCGACATGAATCGAACTCATGAATAAGAGGCCCGTATACGTCTGTAGTGTCGTACAATAAGGTAAACACAACCCATTGATAAAAGTAAATAATACATACCATTTTATTTCACGGATTATGGACCCTGGATGGAAAAATGAGCGACTCCGCGTGCGCTCTGATCGTGTCTTTGCTTGGCGCTACGTCATCAACAATCGACAGAAGCATTTTCCGGTCGCGCAAGCTAATCAACCGACAAAGGTAGTGCAGCGTTTTCTTTTTTTTTTTTTAAATAGCATTTCATAGTAAAGATGAACTGCTGGTATTAGATTAAACAATGTGCATGCGTGTAGATACTTGAAAGATAGCCCACAGCATCCCTTTCACAGAAGTGTAGATTTGTGCAGTGCAGGTAACTGTTAGAGCGCTGACATTGTGTGCTAACCGTGGTGCTAGATGCTAGCTGTCATGCCAACTGTGTTTTGGTTTTGTTTGCGTCATTTTACCCACAAAGCCCGTGCACATTTAAGCAAGCAGCTGAGACACACAGAGACATGTTCAGTGCAGTGTTTACAACGGCGTTGCTAAACTGTATATGCTCGATCACTTAATAACGTTGTTTATTATATGTGTAACGTGTATTGACCTAAGCGTGAATAATTGTGAGATCAACGCTCCTACTCTTATGTGTTCGCTGTTTATTCTTTCACCCCACCCGACCAGCTAATGTCAGCAATCAATTAGCTTATATTATTAGCTATATTTTCGGCAGCCTGTCCATGCATATTTTGTTTGGATTACATGTAAGCCATTCTTCCACCAGGCACATCCAGGGAGTGACTTAGGTTAAATATGCATGCTTCCTTAGTTTACCAGTAACCATCTCATATGACTATTTAACAGGCTTTTAAGTAATATTGCCAAGGTTTTTAGATTTGCACTGTTTACAATTAATACCATGTTCTCTGGTAGGAAACCAGTAGTCCATGTGAGGAATGGGAGTGTTTTGTGAGAAGAACAGTCTCTATGAAGGCTGAAGGATGGTCTGATGGACGGCCGCTTCTTATTGGCATTCCTCCTCTGCTCATTGTTGTGGATTTTCTTCTGGGAAGTGCACTGGAAGAAAAACAAAGACGGTCAGATTAAGGAATGGCTTCAAGGACACAGACTTTTTCAATACAGACACATATTTGAAGGTATATTGGTTATTTGCTTGTTTAATGGTTGTGGATATATTCTAATCAGCACTTATTACTCCGACATAATACCTCTCTGACAATATATATTTTTTGTGTAGATGTGCAGACCCTGGAAGAGCTGAGCTTGAGTGTATTGAGTCGTTTGGAGGAGGTAGTGAAGGAACAGAAGCGCTGGGGGGAGATTGCAGAGGCTAACATCCAGCTGCTCAGAGATTTTGCATTCCAAGAGTGGCTTTGCGCCCAGAACTTGGAACATTACTACAATACGTAAGTGTCTTTTGCTTTAGTGACCTGTCTCATTCCTGGAATTGAATGCTAAAGGAAATGTATTGTGTATGAAGTATCTGTCCACTGGAGGGCACTCATCATTTTTTTTACTGCTGTGTTTCATTTCCATGTTGCAATAGTTTTATGGCCTGTAGTCCGGTATTTTACAGCTTTATTGTTCAACTTCTATCACATTTTTCCCTAACCCTAACCCTATTATTGCAGATGGGCCATACGAGTAAAGACACGAGTCATTCATTAATTTGAATGCATAATACATTCTAATTTAATTTAGAGCTGCACCAAACATACTGTTATCTTTAAAGACATTGTTAAATCTTTAACTAGAACCTAGAATTGAACTATAACCCGTAAGTCCAAATGTTAATCCACCCTCTGAATGGATACCAGGCCGTTAAATGATAACAGATGTTTTATAGTTAGTGATTGGTTAAGTTTCACTTTCTCTTCAGACTGAAGACCTTGGGTTGTATGAACCTAGATGACCTCTCTCAGTTTGACAACACGCAGCAGCTTTCTCTAGCTGCGTGGGGTTACTTCTACGAGGACTACATCAAGTTATCAACCGGTATCAAAATCCTCCAGAAATCCAGGGGAAGCCGTGACCAGGACTACGAGATCCGGCTGGTACACAGCCTTGCAGAGAGACGTCTGAATGAAAAGTGGTCTGTTGGTGAGTCAGATTTAGTGATATTTAGTGATGTTCTGGTTTATTATACCTTTTGTATATGTGTCTTTTTAGCAGGTGCTCTCATATTTGGCTGTACTGTGGCCCTGTGCTTTTTGATAAGGGACCTCATGTTTTACGTGATTGGTGAGTTGAAAGCTGTTATAAATGTAAAATATACATGCAACACAAAATTGTATTTACATGTAGTCTCCTTTTTGCAGGTGGAATAACTGTTTCCATCATAGCTTTTGTCTTTACCATCAAGTTCCTTTGTGAGCTTGCAGCCAGAGTGGTTAGCTTCCTCCAGAATGAGGATCCTGGGCGTCGTGGTGACCGAAGCATCTATGACTATGTCCGGGGGAATTACCTTGATCCACGTTCCTGCAAAGTATCATGGGACTGGAAGGAACCACAGGAGGTGGGGCAGACGATGAGCTTCAGGGTGCAGGTATAAAGTTAAGTCAAACATTCTCTGCGTGACAAGCTTTAAAGGTGTTAAATTCAGTCTTTGTTTCTTTTCAGCTTTTCTATAAAAATGGACAACCTTTTCCCGCTCACCGACCAGTTGGACTGAGAGTCAACATTACTCACATTGAACTAGCCTTGGATATTCCAGTTACTCAGGAGGTCCTACAAGAGCCAGAGTCTAATGTTGTCAAAGTGGCTTTTACTGTGCGCAAGGCTGGTCGCTATGAAGTTGCCGTGAAGTTAGGAGGGCTCAACGTGGCCTACAGTCCCTATTACAAAATATTCCAGCCAGGTAAGAATCCATAAGTATTTCAAATTTCCAAGTCAGGCTTTACAACTCATCACAAACTGCTTCATTTATTTCAAGGAACTGTGGTCCCCTCAAAAACAAAAATAGCCTACCATTTTTCAACCCTGGTTCTAACAAATGGCCAGCAACACACTTTGCAGATTGAACCCAGAGACGAGTATGGTAATCCCACAAGCAACTCCACAAGTCTGACAGATGAGGCCAACTACAGCGTCCATGTGCATTCGGTAAGTACCGGGCAGGGCTCACATCAGGGGACTGTCATTTTCTTACATTGTTTTCTTTGGTCTTGTAGCTAGGTACAGTAGATGACGATAATATGGAAGACTGCTACTGTAAATCGGTTTCACTCAACAAGCCACAGTGCCAGGTCCTACTCAGACTAACCCTGAAGAGGACCGGCTGCTTCAGGGCCCGGATCTCCTACAAGGACCAGCCACTCAGCAACGGGGAGTTTGACATTATTGTTCTCAGTGGTGAGTAATGTGTTCTGGTTACAACTTATACGTTTTGTACAACTCCTCTTTTAACCCATTGAGGCAAGTGTTGCACACTTCTACCTTTAAGGCCAGGAAAGCTGACACGTCAGTTTATATTTTTTGATCAATTCTCTTTATTGTTCAATTCTTTTGACCAATAAAATGCGTCAGGATAAACCAGGGATAAGAATTTTCTGCGGACATTTTTTTTCTTCTGTGAAATGTGTGACCGCGGGCTGTTTGCGTTACGAACTTTAACAGGATTCACATCCTCCGTTCTGACCTTGGGAGACGCTTTGTACCAACAGCCGTAGCTCAGCAAATGTGCAGCCGTAACGTGGTAATGTACCGAGCGCGGACCGGACAGGACCATAGCCTTAAGAAAGAGCCCTGTGAGTCATTATTAGACTTTTTGATCTAAGAGTGGATTTAAAAAAACAAAAAAATTCCACACAGTTAGTGCCACTTTATCGCCAAAATCTTGTTAACTTCTTGTGTTGATAAATATTTGTTAGTCTCACATTATTTTTGGATGTTTTATTATCTGTCCTGTGTGGAAGTTGTTATATTTTTGTATTACGCTACTGAAGGTTTATTTTAATACACTCTACATTCTTATTGAAAGCCACAGGTGTCAGCTCTCAAATTCTTTTGGAATTATGTTTTTTTATCTGCTACAGAGGCCGGGATATAAATCATTTAGTAGCCGTTGTTTCAGGAAAACTTTGAGGTTTTAGAGGGTGGTTCTAAAGACGGCCATAGGTTTTAGTGGTATGTTTTAGCAGGTGTGTCTGGCCTTAATGGGTTAAAGCACAAAATCGAGTCGACTCAAAATCTTTCCTAGTTTTGATTAGTCCTTAACGTTTGTTTATAATGTAACTTCCTTGGTTGTACACCAGGAAGTTACTTCCTGGTTGAAGCTTTTTTTTCATAAATTTGATGTGAAACAGATAACATTTCTGAAAATATAAGAGGTATAAAATAATAAAAATGAAAGAAAGGAAAATGTAGGGAAACGATTGTGATAGGTATCTGAATAGAAGTGTCCTGGATTCAGGGGTTAATATAGCAACCGTAAGGTAAACAAGAGCCTCAGATCATCAAATCAACAGAATAGCTGTGGTATGTTGATTTTCTAACATCTTTATTGTGTGCTAACTGTCTCTGATGGCACAGGTTACATCACACAACGTTAAAGCTCATTGCTTCCTGATCACAAACTGCCACTTCTGTCCGATCAAGAAAAGTCACTTGTGTCCGACACAGGATGTATAGTGACCCCTTTCATGAAATGTGCTTCAAACAGAGAATGAGAAAAGCTGTGTGGAGAAGAATGTGTCTACACCAGGCATCAGTATCTACTTTGAGGCCTACCTCTACAGCAGTGGGAACTACAGCAGCTCCTCATGGCAGTTCCCCGCCTCCTCTTTGCTGGCTCCTCAGAGAAGACCCTCGATGGGAGAAGAAGAGGATGAGCATGACTCTCCTGTGGAGGGACAACCAGAAAAAGTCAAAAAACCCAAAAAGGTCTACTGTTACATATCACCAAAGGTTAGAACTCTGTTTTTGTTTTATGTTTATTTCATTACCAAGTAATTATCACAAACCTAATGCATATAAACCTCCTCTTAAATTAGCAACTATCAGTGAAGGAGTTCTACTTAAAGATTATTCCATGGCGCCTTTATACCTTTCGAGTATGTCCTGGAACAAAGGTACATTAAACTCTTGCAATAGAATATAAAAATAAAGCCTGCTTTCAATTTACAACTAGTCTCTTGTCCTAGTTCACGTACCATGGTCCTGACCCCGTTCACAAGTATTTGACTTTAGTAGTGGATGATGGGATCCAGCCTCCAGTGGAGCTAAGCTGCAAAGACAGAAACATCATGGCAGCTACTTTCATTCGGTTTTTGCACAAAAATATTGGTGGGTATTGCACTAAGTCAAATACACAAATATTCAAAATACAGTGGTCATTTTGAGATGATGTGTTTTACAGGTGGTTCTGAGACTTTCCAAGACAAGGTGAACTTCTTTCAGCGTGAACTCAGGCACATTCACTCCAAGAAACCTCGTACCAAGACCTGCCTGAAGATTGCCCGACACGCAATTCTTGATTCAGTAAGTATGTGAAAGAAGAAGATGTAACTTTCTATTGATTAAAATATTGTCTTTTATAGTCCTTAAGAGCAACAAGAAACTTTTCAGTGTCAGACTGGAGCAAGAACTTTGAAGTGGTGTTCCAGGATGAAGAAGGTACTTGCCACTCTTGCTTGACAGCCTCTCCCTGTTAGTGAGTTCTAATTGTATTTTCTGTGCAGCTCTCGACTGGGGAGGGCCGAGAAGAGAGTGGTTTGAGCTAATTTGTAAAACCCTTTTTGACACATCCAACTATCTGTTCACACGCTTCAGTGACAACAACCAGGGCCTGGTGAGTAACGGTCTACACAGCAGCCTCAAGTCTCATCACGGCCTCAAGAATAACCAATTTATCTTTTTTGTAGGTGCACCCAAATCCTGATCGACCTCAGCACTTGCGTCTAAAAATGTACGAGTTTGCGGGCCGTGTTGTGGGGAAGTGCCTGTACGAGTCTGCTTTAGGTGGAGCCTATAAACAATTGGTCCGAGCGCGATTCACAAGGTCCTTCTTGGCTCAGATTATTGGTCTGAGGATGAACTATAAGGTATGTCCCATTGTATAGTTGTTGTTATAAGTGATTTATAGTAATGTTACTAAAACTATTCCTGTACTTTTAGCTTGTTTTGTTCCTGTACTTTTCCCCTTGTTTTGCTTACACTGCAAAAAGCTCTGAAAAATTAGAGAAAGTTAAATCAAAGTTCCTCAAGTTTGGCAAAATGTATCTTAATTTGAGTACATATTGACTGCCTTAAAACAGGATTTGCCAATAGGACAAGAAAAATTATCTTGTTTTACAAAGATACAAGAAAGGTCTTCCTTGGAATGAGAAAATTAACAGGAAATAAGACTAAATGGCTTTGTCCCTTCGGCAAATATTGTTTTAAGGCAGTCAGAATGTTCTAAAATGAAAATAAAAATCATTCTATCCAAGCAAATATTACCTTTTTTTTTTTTTTTTTTTACAGCGTATTTACTTGTCTGGATGTACTCCAATATGGTTTTACTGCAAATGGCAAATAGAATGAATTTTAATCTGTGTTGACTTTGCAGTACTTTGAGACTGATGACCAGGAGTTCTATAAAACAAAAGTGTGCTTCATTCTAAACAATGATGTGAGTGAAATGGACTTGGTGTTTGCGGAGGAGAAATACAGCAAAATGGGACAGCTGGAGAAGGTGAGGCAACTTTTGGGATGGAATCTCATCTTCCAGCCCTGATGTCATTGCACAGAACACAGCAATAAACTAAACAAAAGGAACCATATTGTCTGTCTGGCCGGGTTTTTAGAGTGCTAGGAGTGGTAAGTTTATATATATATATATAAAGGTGGATGAGCTAAATGTGGAAAAATCTCCCTCTTAAAAGTTGTTTGCTTGGTTAATATTTCTTGCGGCATTTCCCCCTGTAGACACACACTTCAGGCAGATGTCCTTAGCTTTAATGTAATTGGCTTCATTTTTTTTTTTTTCAAGCTTGTAAACAGAAATCAATTATTGTAATCTACAGTATTAACATATGCATGATACAAACGTACATGGACATACATTCATACATACATTTTAGAGTTTACAATGGAGTGGGAGGAACTCGTATAACTCAAACATATAAGCACCCACTCCATATTATCACACCCACTTAGATTATAGAATAATAAAACACATTTTACCACTATTTTTGACATTGGTTTATTCATATGAAGCACACATACCAAAACATTCTCTTACATTTAAGATGTCATGACTTGCAGTTCTCTCATAATCATTAAACCAGTCATCTTTTATTTGTAGAGGCACCTTTCTTACACAAAGCAACTCAAAGCACTTCACAACCTGTATCACATCAGCCATAAATCATAAACATGAAAATAAACATTAACATTAATAAATACGATTAAAAAGAAATATCACAAGCAATAATAAAAACATAAAAATGTAAATCACGTATTTAAAATCCTCAAGACCTAAAATCACACATAGGATTGAAATCATAAATAGCTACAGTGCATTAAAAAGAGTAAAGACAAAAAACCTTCAGTTGTAATAATTTGCCTCCAGGTCTCAAGGGATGGACATGATGTAATGTCTTCTTCTCTAAATGATTGTTCAAACAAATCATTGTTTTTTTTGGTTTCTGGACTTGTAGGTGGTGGAGTTGATATCAGGAGGGGCTAACATTGCTGTGACCAATGAAAACAAGATGCATTATCTGAACCTACTGGCACAATACAGGCTGGCCAGCCAGGTGAGGGACGAGGTGGAACACTTCCTCAAAGGTAACATCCAAAGATCATGACTCGATAATCAAAGCTCAAATCCTTTGTGTAAAATTCTTGACTGCTTCCAGGTCTGAATGAGCTGGTTCCAGAAAATCTATTGGCTATATTTGATGAGAATGAGTTAGAGGTATGTGTATTGATTTGGAAGCAGATATGCAATTACATATTTATATTTAAAAATACTTAATTTATTTACTTCAACAACATTTATGGATATTGGTCATCTGCCCATTATGGACCAATGGCTCTATGTGTTTTTTTTTATCATTGCATATATTGCGTTTGAACAGTTTGATTTTCTGATCTGTGTTGGCGAGTTTGACAGTTTTGTAAAGTCTTACAAGATAACTACTGTTGTGATGATGTATGGCTTGAATTGAGTTGAATCATAAAAATAAATTATCTTTTTTTCCTTTTAGCTATTGATGTGTGGAACAGGAGACATCAATGTGCAAGACTTTAAAGCCCATGCTGTAATTGTTGGAGGATCCTGGCATTTCAGAGAAAAGGTGAGACTGTTGGTAAATAAAGACAGCTGCGTAAGCATAGGCCGTACATGGGGTAATATTTGGGCTCTTAAGGTATTTTAAGGTGCACATATTTGTCCTCTTTTTCAAGGTGATGAAATGGTTCTGGGCAGTGGTTTCGAGCTTCACTCAAGAAGAGCTGGCCCGGCTGCTGCAGTTCACCACCGGCTCTTCTCAGCTTCCTCCAGGAGGATTCAATACTCTGTGTCCCTCCTTCCAGATCATCGCAGCCCCTACACACAGCACTTTGCCCACTGCACACACCTGGTAAGAACAGCACAGTTCCACTGCGGATTAAACAATCTCATGCTATTATAATGTATGTTTGTCCATCTGATTGTGTGATTTATCATTTTGTCTTCACTGCTCTTTGTATGTTGTGCACTGCTGTTCCATTGTGGCGTTAGCTGTAAATGGTGTAATAAAGTGGCTTACTAATTAACAAACATCTTTCTACCGCAGACTGTGTAATGGGGACCACTAGACTAACAGAGTGATGTCATCCATAGCATTTGATTTTGACTGGAAGAAGCCACTTCTTCTCTTCTCTATTGGGGATAATGTGTTTCATAGCTACCAAGGCATAGTCAAGCCATCGACTTGGTTATATTGTGATTTATAAATTGAATTTAAAAAGCAAAAAAAATACACCATGGCCTCATCAATTCTATCCCTATATGACAGAGGTTGACCAAAATACATTTTCAGGGCCTATACCAATAAAATAATTATTGGTGCAGATAACTATAAATATATAGCTTATATTAAGCTGCATTAAAAATGATAATATTGGTGTCATCATCATAAATAATATTAAATCCACACTTAACTGAAACTGAAATGCCTTGAGTATATGTTTTTTCTGATTAATTATATACAGTTATTATCTCATATATAATTCTTGTTTTATTAGTAACAGAAGTGAACTACTCTTTTTGTGCAGTTTTAATCAGCTGTGTCTGCCGACATACGACTCCTATGAGGAGCTGCACAAGATGTTGAAGCTGGCCATCAGTGAGGGTAGCGAAGGCTTTGGGATGCTCTGACTCCTCTGTCCTGGGACTGGTCCCTGAACTCCCCACAGGTTTGAAGACATCTCTGTTCAACAGTGGACATCTCAGCAGAGATCAGCCTCTGCCTACTACCTACTGCACTCTACTCTCACAATGAGGGTCAGCCCCCACTGCACAGGGAACACTTCCCTCAAGTGCTACTGGATGTATATACGTGTTCTATTTGAGGGGACGTTGAACCTGATGTAAAGTATATACTTTTGGTCCATTTTTATTTGAATTCCATTTGCTTTCCTCTGTTTTAGATACTTGACTGAATTCAGTTGGTGAGTAAAGGCCTTGAGTATTGCTGCTTTAACTGCTTTTTCCCCCAAACTTAAGTGCAAGAGCTGCTTCCAGTTTCATGTGCGACTTGGGCACAGCACTTTGGCCTTAACCGATCAGGGACAGTTCTGTGTATGGTCAAATATGACATCACTGTTTATTTCTTTACCTGTACATAATAGTGAGTGTATTATGTACTTGTGTTTAAACACTGAAGGGATTTTTTTTCACAACTGCACGTTTGGATTGACATATTTAATTTCTATTTGCATTGAAAATGAAAGGTTTAAAAAAATGTATACAAGCCAAGTTATATTTCCTTGTTTTTGTGATATTTTTTGTATGTTTGTAACTTATTGCTGTTATGTCTGGAAGACTATATATTTTTGCTATGTTTTAAAACCTGCCTTATTCATGTCCTCTGCCTCTGATTGTGTATCCAGGACAGTACAGAGGTAGAAATGAATAACAAATATTTGGATACATGCGGACATCGAAACATTTGGAACAATTGGCTGTAAAAAGTAGAGCCTTTATGTCATTCTTCACTGAAGCAGTAGTCTATGCAGGCCAGATGTCCAGATTTCCCCTTTCACGTACTTTCTCTCCAGCTTCTCTGGGGGGATGCTGAGGCCTTCCCAGGACAGCCGATCGTCACTCTAGTTTGTGAATATTGTCTCTCTGAGCTCTTCCTGCTAGTGGCACATTTCCATCTATTCCCGTTACTTGAATCCAGTCTTGTTTTGGTCTATGTATGTCTTTGATAAAACAGCCAATTGTTCCATAATGTTACTGGATTGAAGGATGATAGGACAGTTTGGGTTTTCAAGCTGTGTTTAAGTATTTTATTCATTTCAATTTCATAAACTGCACCACAATAAGCAAAGGTCCTCATTTTTATTTTGGCCGAGTGTATAAAGAGGAGGACAAAGGGCCGTGTGGTCTGTGCAATGCTGACATGGTGTTCTTAGAAAAATATGGAAGCTGTATTATCACACTGCAGAGTACGATAAGAGCTTCTGAATCTGAGAGGATGATGTGGAGGGTTGGCTCAGCTTTCATTCAGCATTTACTACTGTTCCTTCATGTTTTGTGTTTGGGCCTTCCTGAACACATTCACCCTTTTAGCAATGTAGATATTGTGAAATATTGACCCATGCCTTTGAGAGCTGGGGTCATTTTCTTTTTTAATGGAATACCTTTGCTGATGAATGTTTTAGATTCTGCACTGCAGGGTCTTTGTTATGGGAATAAACATTATGGACTGAATCATCACCTTTGTCCTTAATTTGTTTTGATAAAAAATGTTGTTACATTTATTGGAATGACAATTCCTACTGTATTCAAGTTACAGTAGGAATGAATTGCGCACAACCCAAGTTTAGTGCTTTGATATTTGAGTGTGTTCACAGTTAAGTGTCAATTGAAGTATCTCGACTTTAAAAGGTTATAACTTAAAAACTAAAATTACTATCATAGATTGGAAAAAAGATTTCAAACACAGACACATCAAAGAGATAGTGTGGATAAAATCAAAAGGAAAGATTGTCAAATATATTTTTGGTGACATTTTAAACGACAAAATCAGCCTCTTTTTTGACCATTCTACTGTGACGCCAGTTACATAGAAAATAAAATGTCCTCAGTCTGAAAAAGCAGAAGATGAAATCCCACAATATTTACATGGTTAACACAACATCAGGAAATCACTTGATATGAAAAGGAATCGTTAAAAAATAAAAAATAAAAAATAAATTAAATGACCCTTGAAAAATGTATAACGGACGTGATGAGGACGGTCCTCTTTTCTCTAAAATTTTAACTTGAGAAAGAAAAAAATCTTGTCTGGTTTCACATTTAATTGGTTGACTAAATGAAAGTATCACTTTGTTTCTACTCTGTAAAAAAATAGAATCTCTGAATCAATTGTGGACATCTGAAAATACCTATCAAACTTCCGCAAAGCTCATTCCGTCAAATCATCACGTCCGTTAGATAAAATAAACAGGGCCGCTATAGAAAACTTGTCTAATGTATAAAACAGTTATGTTCTAGCAACTTCTAATGGACAGAGGAGGTGTTTGGAAACATGAAAAACATAAAATATCTTATTATTAAAATCTAATTTTTGGCCTTTTGTCACACTTTTGTGCCCTTTAGTGTGAACAAGCCCATTTCACAATAATGTTGAAGCACATTAGATAATTGCAATATTTTTCAGTCCTATTAAGTATTTCTACTGGAACATTTTAAAGTAAAGGTGTATTTTATTCATCCCCATTGGACAAATCATCCTCTGCCTTTGACCCATCCTGATGCTCGGCTTGGTCAGGACTACCAGAGCTGGAGGATTTACTTCTTGTACCTGGGTTTTTTTTGTGTTTGGGGAAACCACTGACAAAGTAACAATGACTCAGAATAAGCAATTTAAAAACACAATTTTGAACAGATTGACTTTAGTATTTATCTCTGTATTTACCACAGAGATTGTAGATGGAGGGTCACGTCTATGCGTGCTACTGGAAGTATATTTACTGTGTACTTATGGAATGTAATAAGTCATTGGAATTGGTGTGGTCAAACATAATACATATTTAGACACCAGATGGCGGTAGATGCACATAACATGTTCACTTTTTTTTTTCAGCTGCTTGTATTATTAAATCATTTAGGGCTTTTCATATTTAAAGGTGGAGTACTTCACTATACTTTTCCTTCAATAAATTATACATTTTTCCCAAATAAAACTGTCTGAAACATTATTTATTTGGCATACTTGTAAGAAAGTGTCAATAAGTGACACTTTGGGCTGAGAGCTGATTGCTGAGGAAGATTGGTTCTCTTTTTTCACTTTTTTGCCTAAAAAACGGATCTAAAGATTTAACAAATAAATACAAAATATTATTTACTTATTTTTTTGTGATTTGAAATACTGAAGGTATCCAAGCTATGAAGAACATACAGTATTCAGAATTCTTTATGTAGCAACGACAGAGTGATGGTGAAGATAATCAATGACAGTGATCAAAGAAAGCGAATGAAGATGTTATGTCCGGATGCACTCACTGCTGCCTCCGGTTTCTGGCTTGGACCTGATTCTGGACACTGGGTGCACCATCTTGAAGTACTTTAAGGTAACTGTCAGTTATTATTAGCTCTTTGAAAGCACCTGCGGATTTGCATAATGGTCTCTGAAATTGTTGGAAAAGACTAAGGAGGATCACAAATCTCACTAAAACTCACCAACCCATTGCCTTTAAAAGGTTATTCATAAGTAACTTTAGGTAAAGTCCCATACGGATCAATAGCTCTAGGTGTGTGTGTGTTTTTATTTTTAGATTAAAAAAAATGAATAAAAAAAATGCAATTCTTGTGTTTGAATTGTTTGAATCTCTTTTCTTTGTTGGCAAATTCAATGGTTTTGTAGGCCCCCGAGATAACTACAGTTGAGGTCTTTAAAAAAAGCACTCTTAAATTGAATTGAAAAGCCATACATCTTCTGCACCTCCAGTTTGGGCTCAGAATATTGGTGGTTCTTCTCAAATACAGAATTTGTACAATCAAAAGTTCCGACAGGCTGCCTGCAGAGACGTCCATCAGGGAGTCTGTGATCAGTTGTAATTGTACACAGACAGGGATCTTCCCTGGGCATATCTTTACTGTGTGATTGGATGGCTTTTCCTGTCCGCTCAGCAGCCATGGGACTGTCTGCTCTCTATTCCAGAATGCTGGCCCTCATTACATGATTTGACATCACTGATTAACGGCCAACTGGACTGGCTGCAGGTACTCATCATCTGTGATGATTGGGTCGCTCCGGAGGATAATGGTAATCAAATTTGTTGAAGGACAGATAGACAGGAAGTGGTTCCCTTTACTGTTTAATGTACTGATTTGACTTACATGGAAAAGGTCCTATGTTGAAGGTCCCTGTTTTCTCGCAGACATGTCCACTTTCAGTCCGAGTACAAAGAAACTTCAAACAAGTGTGGGCCTCTGAATTTAACGACTTCAAACATTTTTATTTGTTCTTTCTGTCTGTTCCAGGTTCTGAAGTTGCTATTAAGGTTCACTAACTTTTTTTTATTGATGCTGACAAGACAAGCCACAGTGGACACTACTAAAGACACTACTGAAGACTCAGAGCAGAAAGTACAGAGCAGCTGTGCATAGTTGATGATTAAAATAGTTTCCTTTACATTATCGGACATTTCACAGACTGTCAATCCTGTGAGATACAGAATAAAGGGTCTCATCAGCTGATTCAGAAAGCTCACGGCACATGCTTTGGAGTATTAGATCGATGTCCCCTCATTACAGAAAAAGCCAGATACGTGTGCTGTGCTCCCAGACAGTTGTGGAAAAAGTGTTTGTGAGCAGATTAAGTGTCCCTGCGCTCACTCCTGTCCGCTTTATATATGAGACTGCCGTAGGCCTATTGATTCATGGGCTTTGCTGTCCTGCTGGGATATGCAGCTGAACTATATTCTTTGTGCTGGGAAACACTTACACTATTACATTTCCTCTGTAATCCTTCTGTAATGTAGACTTGTATAGGTGTCAGGCCCCCTGTGTTGCTCCACCCCCTGTGTGACTGATGGAGATGTGTCTTGTATTCCTGCAAATTCATTCAAACTAGGGCTATAATTTTCTATAATTTTGATAATTCCAGATTTGGCCAATTAGTTGTTTGGATCCCGAAAGTGAAT